ATGGTGCAAGCACGCAAGCCATCTAGCGAGCGCGCGACCTCGTACCCCGGCGAGCATCGCAACCCCTTTTTTTTTCATTGCATCGTCAGCTGGGGCAATTACCAACCCCCCCCCCCCCCCCCCCCCAACTCCCCCCCCAACAAATTTCTTTCTGCTTATTCCCTTTTTTCTTTATTGAAATCAATAGGACCTACCTACCTGGTATATGATTACTATATATAGATATAGTGAACACAACCAAAACAAGTAGGTACATACTTCCAACGAAGGCAGGCTAGCCCCTCTGATTACACCCCGTACTTCTAACTAGTGTCCACCTACCTTAGGTACCTTAGGTAGGCTGGCATTATAAATTACTTATCATAATCTCTCTCCCTCTCTCCTTAACGGAGCTTTGCCTCCTGAATGTCGTCTCGCTATTCATAGGGATGAGTCCTCATATACGTCACCATTGCCTCTTCTACAGCTCATTACGAGAGTCCATCTGTCCTCTAGTTATAAGAGCTTGCCATCAACACCAGCTTCTACTAACGGGCGAATTTGTAAGGTTAAGTTAGGTAGCCACATAAGTGGCGACGACTCCAGCCCCGAATGACCTTCCAATGTCGAAACGGCTTGTTTATTTCCGCCAGCGGATGTCGTGTAAAATAAGAGGCAAATTACCTATCGCGTGGATATTATGGTGCCGAGAAGAGTGATGACTTACATAGGTATTTTGCATCACAAGAATATGTCATCACGACGCAGAGGTTACGACTTCCAAGGTTAAGCGGAAAAAAACATTACACTAGAATTGTACGAATCTACCTCATCGGTCGTACAGCCGAAGCGCGGAGGCTTAGTTACGAATAACATAATAGAGAGGGTAATGACCCTTAACTCTCCTTATGTTGCCTTTCTCCAAGGGCGAGAGATAGGTATAACCCGGACGACTAGTCGTCGGATAAACATCCCCAAGTGGTCGTTTAAGATAGATAAGTCGATAAGCCGCGAAAGGAAATCTTTCTAGAAAGCCCACCGTCTAGATGATAGAGCTGAAACGACGAACTCGAATCCAACGGCTGCCTTATCGTGTATGGGACATAGGGTGGTATGATCCTTGGGGAATACCTAATACCTGACCCCCAGTAGGGTTACAGATGTGTCGAGTATACTCACGACCTGGAAAAGCTACGGCAAGTAAGCAAGATACGCGACGATCCCGGCGATGATGCGTCCTTGGGCTAGGTTGAGATGTCGAAGAAAGGGGGCCACAGCTTGCGACTTACCGCGTTCCTTCGAGTGGTACATGTCTGCCATCACGGGACCTAGAAGCTACCAGGACAAACGTGATAGGCTTGAAATAATTCACGATTTTTTTATAAGCCAAGAATAACCAGTTGCGTACCATAATACCTGCTCCCGCGCCCAGTACGAGAAATCTACCGATAATCATCAGGAGCAATGAAATCCCCCACTGGGCAGAGAGCATTCCATAAATCGAAGGTATCAAGCATTGCGGATGATATGCTCCTGGCTGCTCATCTCCGCGAGGGGTAGCTACAAAGAATGGACCAATACCCAATTCGAGGAAGTATATACCCAGAGGGAAGTGTAACTTGCGCGGCCGACGCGCCGATATTAATATCGCGAAATATACTACCGAGAGCCGCTGCTAATGTATTAGCTGACATTAAGGTCACGAGCTAGCCGACGGAGAAGATAATGTCGATCGAGACTTTCCACCACTTCGGCCAGCTACATTGATCGTCTGGTTCTCCTCAGGCATCTAGTGACGTTCTATCAAAATATCTACCTAATGGAATAAAGATCTATAACATCGAACGGTAACAACAGCTGTCTACTAGTGCCATCTGATAAGCTTCTAGGATGAGGACTTTTCTTGGCTAGGTACCTAGCTTGCTAGATTCCAGGAGCAATAGGCAAGTAAGTCAGGTACTTAATTTATATGGACCATAGTATTAGAAAATATAATATTAGAAACCCATGTTAATCGCTTGAACGGTGTTGCTTTTAACTAGGACCTTATTGTCACGGTACGGCTCGTAGCCCTCTAGCGGGCTACCATCGTGTATATAAGGTAGGAGGTAGCTAGGTAGACGAGGGCCTTTCTACTACTTCCCTCATTCTCTCCCTTGTGCAACAACAATTATCACTACCAGACCATGACACCTATACGTATTTTCAGTAGGTAACACTGTTATATATCATGTGGAAAGCCATTTGAAAAGTAAAAGTTAGCACTTGGTTATAGTTAATGTGTCAGTATAAGGTATTATAAAGTAAGTGAAAACTTTTAAAATTTCCGAAAATAGATTTCATCCATAACCCCTTAATCTTGCACTACCTGGTATAAGAGGTACCTAGGTGTGTATGTCACGGCACTGTCCTTATAGGTGGAGATAGCATCGTCAACCCCTCGAGTTGACATCAATCTACCTTTTGGTAGTGTAGCGGTTTGATAGAGGTATCTTCCGAACTCTTACAGTGTATTTCAAAATACCCGAATACGTTTCCTAATATTATTTGTTCAAGGTTAATAATAATACTTCATACACCCAAGTACCTAATCCAGCATGAGCTGGCGATAGCACGTATATCCGTTAAACCTCGGCGAATTGCAATATCGAAAAAGTATACCATCCCTTGCGTCCCGTGGCGTATGCCTTCTAACGAGAGTCTCCTTAACCACCATGCACGATACACCATACACTTATACACGACCGTCCTCTTTTACCTCAGAATTTTAGGAACACCCAACAAAAAAAAAAAAAAAAACACTTTCGAATATCCATGACTCATAACTCATAGCACCCTCTTCAAACGCAAGATAAACCTTACACGCGCTGGACTCGGCTGCCTTTCCCGTCGGTGCCGCGCATCTGGCGCGTCCCCGCGGCCTTCTTCCCCGGCCGGCGCGTGATCTTCCCAACCAGCTTCTTGGCGGCGCCCTCGATCTTGTCGCTCAGGTGCGGCTTCCGCTTGTGGTGGGTAGCCGGGGCCCTGGTCGCGCCGGTCCGCTTGGTGGTATGGTGGTGGTGGTGGTTGTGACGGGTTGTCGTGGTGCCGCCGGTGCGCCGCTTGCGTTCCGGCTCGGTGGACACGGTTAGGTGGATGCGCGGCTTGGAGTGGCCTGTTGACGCTCGTGTGGACGCTGCCATGGTTGTGTGGTTTTTATGTTTGTGTAGTGCAGGTGGGTTATAAGTACCAGGTAGATAGGAAGGTAGAGGTTGGGTACAAAATAGTTATATCTAGAAATAAGGATGAGGATGGTTCAACTAGTAGTATATTACCTATGCTAGGTAGGATCATTATATATAAGGTATATATAAAGAGTTGGTAGATGCGATCTCGATGGGACACCCAAGATAACACTTAATACCTTAGGTTAGGTACCTAGTTAAAACCCTCTTTGATATGAAATACGCATCAGATTATACTCGCATCTAATTAGTCGACGTAAACCAGGGGGTGACGTCAGGCTAACTGTCAAGCAGGTTTGCTTTTTAGGGGACATCTTCAGGCTTTTATGACATACGTGGCGAACATTCACACCTACTCATAGGTACTCTTACCATATCGAAAGCCACACCCGGTTGAGAGATGGTCATTGGTCGCTGTAAAGGGATGACGACGCTGAGATAGTTATCCAATAGGAGTGTTGACATTCGCGTCACTCGTAGATTCAAAAGATAATAAAAAATAAAAAATTGTAGAATATGACCATATTTTCTTTGTACCTAACTAACTGTTCTCTGCTGTCAAAGAAGCGTAACGAGAGTACTGGGTGTACCTAAAGAGGTATGTAATATGGCACTTGGATCGCAGCCTGGCTTATGCGGATGGATTTAGTTCTGCAAATTTAATCAGGCTCTCATCTCAGCCAAGGCAACTTTGTCAATAGTATAGAAGGAAGTTCGTCACCTGTATTGACTTCCTCTAACCCCTCCAAACCTTCCTGGAGTTCTCGGTGTAGTAGTTGGAAAGACCCTTGTCGTATTAAGTATTAGGCATGTTAACATCGGGATTTGAGGTGATAGAAAAGACCGCTCGAAAGACCCCTTCGAAAGACCCCCTGGCTAAGACTAAGTCCAGCTCTATCGTATGAACAATTGTGTCGCGTCGGCTTCCGACAAATACGCGAATTATTTAAGAACTTCCACGTTAGGCAAACAATTACCCAGTGGTTTATAAATGGACAAACTTGGGCCACCTCATGTCGAATCGGAACGATGCCCCGCTGGAAATGCCTTGAGCTACGATAGCACAAGGCTTTCTCTACTTTCCGATATCAGATGAGATGAGAATGTTTGAGCGAGATGGATCTAGTATACAACATCGCCCTCCGACGCCATTGGCTGCTCTGCCCCCAAACAAGCTTCCCTTAGGTACTGTAGTCCCGTAGAGCTCTTCCTGAAACCCGCCAATCAACAACGGACGGTAACACACGCAGCTCACTGCTCACCTTAGGTACCTAGGTAGGTATGCATGGGATGTATGGGATGTATGGGCCAGGTGCTACGCCGTCCGCTACAATCAGCAGATGGGATGTAAAACGAGGCCAGCTCGGGGGAAATGCGGAAATGCGGCCCACGTTTCGGTAATCGGGGCTGAAGCTAGGTGAGGAATTTTAGAGTCGGAGGAACCATCTTTCAGCTCTGTTACCTACTACCTAGTTAGTACATCATCCAAGTTCCGAGGCAGGTTTGTAGCTAGGTAGGTGGTGGTCTTTGTAAGATGTAAGCTGGCAAGCTGAGATCACGTATTCAGCTTGCCAAACCCATCATGGCCAAATGTTTTCTCAAATCTACCTGTCCTTTTTATCTACCTACCTTACCTACCTAGCTATTATCTCCTATTATGTAGGTGCTTTACTTGCAGAATCAATATCACCTCGTCTTTTGCCTTCCAATGCACCCACTAGAGTATAGGAAGCGTGGGGAATCCTGCGGCTAAACCAAGCTCACCGGAGACCTTCATATGTCTTTCGACGAGAGCTTAGCAATCCAACTTATATTGTTGGCCATAGTGCTTCGTCAAGTTTTACCTTATTTCTACCTACTAATGATCGAGCCAATCCCCGTCGTGGGGGAATTCTCTGATCCCCCGGCCAACTTGGTACAGCATTCGGAAGGGGGTGGCGATGAGTTTTCCAAAGGGAAAGGAAAAGGGAAAGCTGTCGCGGAAAACATAAACGGCGACTCCTTATCAACTGGTGTGCTAAATACCGAAATTACTGTTGATTGGACCCAGTATGAGCCTCCCGAAGGTCTGAGAGACACGGCCGATTCCAAGTCAGATGTAGTCGCTCAGATCATCCAGGAATCCATCGACAAGGTCAAGGCCAGGATTGCGGAGGAGAAAAAAAGACGGCAAGAAGATGGCGCTAAGAAGTTAAGGGAGACCGAGAAGCTGTTGGAAGAAAAGGAAGAAATCCAGGGCACTGAAATAACAGGCGCGCCCTTGGATGAGAGCCCGAATGAACAAAACTTGGCCGTTCAGGCTCCAGTGCCTGTCTCGACCATGCTAGGAGTGGCTGACAGTAGTCTTATCGCACCAATACAGCCCGTCAAACCAAAGAAGCGCTCGTTCAGGAACCTCTTTCGACGCTTGAATAATGTCGGAGAAAGGGGCGGATCTAGCACAACCGGAGCCGCTCGCCATAAGCGAGATATCTCTCGGAGCAGTTTTGAAATAAGTGGTTATACATCGAAGAGGGGATTTGTGTCTGGAGTTTTGAAGAAAACGGTAACGAACAGCAGTAGCAGCCATACGTCTTCCATCCACGACGCCGAAGTGTAAGCACCCTTATAGGCTATAATATAAACAAACAGAAATCATACTAATACTAGGTGCTCTAGCGAATGCGTCTCCTGCCTGGATGACTTTAACCCTAAGGATATGGTCAAGGCTCCTTGCCACAGCTATTGCAAACGTTGTTTTATACGTCTCATACGCACGACCTGTGCTAATGAGCAGCAATGGCCGCCTAAGTGCTGTCTGAATCCCATTCCATCCGCCGTTATAATACTCAATGTTGGAAACGACTTGAAAAAGCTATATCACGAACGAGTAGCAGAGTGGAACCTGCCGATAAGCGAGCGAGTGTATTGCAGTTCTGCCGGTTGTAGTTTATGGCTTCGGCCGGATCAGATCAATCGCGACTGCGATATCGCAAGATGTTCGGCAGGTCACTGGACCTGTATCATCTGCCGCGGTCCACAGCATGATGGGACCAACTGTCCCGAGGACCGCGATATGAGGATGACTGACGAGCTTGCTATAGAAGAAGGATGGAAGCGGTGCTATGGCTGCCAGGCGTACGTCGAGCATAGAGAAGCATGCCAGCATATGACATGTCGATGTGGTGCCGAGTTCTGCTATGTTTGCAGTGCGCGCTGGCGAACCTGTGCGTGTACGATGGAGCAATTAGCGGCTGTTAAAGAAAGTGCGGAAGCGCGACGTCTAGCCCGCCAAGAAAAAGAAGCCCAGGAGGAAGCCGAGCTTCAAGAGGCTCTATGGCTGATAGCCGAATTCGAGCGCGAAGAAGAGCTCAAAGCTGAGCTTCTGCGACAGGAACAGGAACGGTTGACCGAGGAGCGCCGGGCAAAGCTACTCGAGGAACGCATCAGGAGAGAGGGCGAGAGACGCCGAGCGATAGAAGTCAAATACCTGGAGCTCCGAGAGGTGTTTGTGAAAATACACAAACTCCAGCACATCGCGGTACAGCGGAACCATAGTACCGAAGAAGCAAGACTGGAAAGCCAAGATGTTACGGCATGGGAAGGGCTGCAGGAGAAGCACAAAGCGAAACGTGAGAATCTGAGCACCGTTACAAGGGCCAAGTTGACAAAGCGCGAAATGATACTCGAAAGGGAATACGTAGCACGAGTAGCCGAGGAGCGCCGGATCGAAGAGCAGTACCACGTCCAATTGAAGAAATACTGGTCTCACAAAGGGGACGGCGATGCCAAAGTAGAGGCTGCCATGAAAGAACTGAAGCGTAAGATGGATGCTCGTTTCGCACAATGGGAGAAATGGAGAGACAACGAGCTGGAGAACTACAGCTGGAAAGTCGAGGAAGAGCAGGTAATCGGGGAGGAGCTGATGCACGAAGCCGCGAGGAGGCTGGTGGAGGACATGCTAGAAGCGCAAACGGCGTTCCTGTTACGCAAGACTGCCGAGCTCCGGTGGGTGGACGTGTTGATCGAGGAGCGCAGCCGCATGGTCAACGACATGGAGGTCGAGGAGATCGAGAATGGCGAGAGCGACGATGCGTGGTTCGAAGACGGCTGGCTTGACCAGGACGAACCGGACGAAATGGTTTCAGCAGAGGAATTTTATGAGTGCGCCAACTCATAGGCTAGATAGGCTACAATGGCAATTGTGCTGAAATGAAATACACTTTCGGCTCAGCGGTTTGTCTCTGAGAAATTTCGACTTCCGATTGCATATGAACAATACTTAAGCAGAGTTAGAGGTAGGTACCTACCTAGGCATTGGTGTATGGTATATTGCCTTTCATGTATATTGCACGGAGTGCATCGGGAGGAGTTAGAGTATAGGAAATTCATGATTTTCCTGTCACTGATGATCGAGATCTTAGGCAGGCGGTGTTAGCTGCGGTTGCTTATAAGAACATGGAGCATCTCCAAATTGTTAGGAATAGGGGCAAGTAGAGGCAGGAGTGATGGGGGTTAGATAGATATATGTTAGGTAATTATATGAATGGAAATTATCATCTAAACGTGGCTGGCTTGACGTTGTCATCGTAACTCCCTCCCCCTTCCCGAATTACAGTTTCCGGTAACTATCAAACCTCCGTAGCCCATACCCAAGGCATTAACTAGCACCCACTCAGTTCCACATATCGTCACTCCTAACAGCATCGAGAAAGGGAGTAAAAGCACGTTTCGACAATATCATTCGTTTCGAAACACATATATCTGTAAAACATTGATATGGACCGTGAGAAATATTACCAATCGTACAGCCATTCCCCGCCGACGAACAATATGTCGCACTCCCACCCATCCTCTCATTACCACGGCTCCTCGCCGCAGCAGCACCAGCCCGGGCCGTACCCCGCCGCCGGCGCCGGTGGAAGCCACCAGTTCCACGGCGAGGACCAGCATCAGCAACACCAGCACCAGCAGCGGATGGCGTCGGACCAGGCGTATAGAGCGACGTTGTGAGTCTCCTTTTGAATTTACCGTGGGGTGTTATTGTCTATGTCTATTCTCAGAATCCCAACATACTTACCTAAGGTACCTACCTGGCTTATTACCTTACCTCCTACCCTTTCTCTCTAAGCAGATACTCGACAGGGGGGTGCCTAATCTAATATTCTGAATTACTTACTTTTCTGCCCAGCGCCTCCCACGAACGCGCGGTATTCCAAGACGAGGCGCGCGCGCGGGCGCGACGCCGGGACGCGGCCCGCAACCGCGCGCTGTTCCGCGGCCGGCTGCTCGAGCGCCCCGAGTTCTAGGCCATCACGCTCGGCGTCGTCAGCCTGCTGTACCCCATCGTCAACGAGTACCTCATAGAGCCCTGGGTCGCGAAGATGCACCAGGGTATCGGGCGGAGGGAGCCGGAGTGCAAGTGATATGAATGAATGAACGAGCGAACGAGATGATATGAACTGGATGAGGGGATGGATGGGTGGAAGGGAACGGGCGTTGGCGTTGTAGGGGAGAGAGGCTTTTGGTGGTGGTGGTGGTGCGTCGTGTGATGACCGATGTCGACTTCTCTGGGCGGCGGCGTGGAATTAGGTATGTCGGGTAGGCGGGTTATGTTAGGTTAGGTTAAGAGGTAGTGAAGTGGGTGTAGAAAAAGCTGGTATGTTTACGTCTAAGCCTACCTAGTCTCTATGTCTTGCTTGCCTTTACGCTGCAGCCGCACGAAACACCGGAGCATTAATGAATTATTTTCGGCCGGCTGTCGTATCATTTACTTGTATCATGTTAGTTCTCGAGATCCTATTAATGAGGAGAATGAGGAGTAGGTGGTCAAATCAGCCCAGATTCAAGGTCACGAGCTCTTAAAAACAACCCAACATCCCTCTTTATACTCCAATGTATAGTCTCCGTCTTCGGCTAGGCTTGGGCTCGGGGTCGGCTTAAGACATGGAGTGAGTGAGTGGGCCGTTCTGTTAGATATACTATACTATAAGCATCGACGTACTGGCGGCTGTGTATAGAAATAGCCACCCTTGATCATGCTTTATACAGATGGGTAGTTAGACTCTTTGTAATTAGTATTTGTGATCTCTGGAGGCCAAGGTCGACATAGGCATTGTCAATTTTCCGATGACCGTAATAATGTAGAGGTACCTTATTTTATACCGATTTAACAAAAATATGGCTCCAACTCCACTTGGGTTATTCCTGATCCTTTGTTTAGGATCGTGGGGTTGACTTGCCATATACGAACGTAGTACGTAGTCTATGCAGGAGCATGAATGGACCCTTACCTAACGCCTTATGTATAGCTCCTTTTAATGTGTTTCCTACCTAATGTTATGATACTCTGGCCATGATCTGGCTATTAGACGAGGCCGGTTCGAAACGGTCAGCGGCGAGGAGCGAATCAATTCCTAACAGCAGTTCTTAGGGTCCATGAAAACCTGGAGTATGATGGACCGACATCCACTTTGCGTTGTCAACACCAAAACCATCATACATATTTACCATATATAATAACATCATGTGAAAGATCACGTGCAGTGGACCGAAACCTGGACCTGAGCCAGTTGGTCAAAATGAATGGGGGCGGGCGGTACTGCGTGTCGATCTGAATGTGCGGTGAAAAGTGGCAAAAACAAACAAAGCCCGGCTCTGGGATGAGTATCCGGAAGATAAGGACATATTCGAGAACACGGTACAGACGCGAAAGAACCATAACCATATCCGCGTTTGTGTGGATTCGAGGCTGCGGACCATATCCGATCTGATGCAAATACTACGGCAGTGATACGTCCTGGCCCCATATCCCTAACGAACGAAACGCTGGTAATGCACCACATCGCATCGTGGGAGTCACCGATGCGATCTATACCCATTTATCGAAAAAATGGAAGGCCCTCGAAGGAAGTGCTTCGGCAGGGCTAAGTGCCTCATGCAACGATCCGTTGGTCAATTGGGGAGAAAAAAAAATTTACGTGCAGGACCAGTTAAGTCGAGTTTTATTGTCTTCTGCAAATGGCTTCTACCACTTAGCGTCAGCGGAACACCGTTGGCATGACAGGTCGGTATATGAATTTTAGAGCGGTGAAGAACTCGCGATGCCAATTTAGGTGGTTATTTGTTGGATGCGTATGCATGGGTTGGACAACAACCACTACCCATTCAGATGGGGGCCGGCGTCGAGTAGAAAACGTGCAACCCAAAACGGAGCTGGGAGTGTCGATAGACCACTACATAGTACAATGGCTGCCGATGAGACTGGGCAACCAAACGGGTGTTGCGGGTAGGCCAGGGTTCGGCGGCAGGATACAGCATGTAGTACCTATAGGTAACCCTTTTTTATTTCATCAGTTTTCATGTAGATTTCTATAGCAACCGGAACATGGATTTGGTAGTTGTGGCAGATGTGGCAGATGCATCTGGCATGCTTTAACCTGGTCAGCCTAGCAGTTGTCCTACTCTTTTCGGATGGATTCCAACGACGTGGATGAATGGGCGTCGTGGGTAAAGCCTGGAGCAGATACCAAAGCTAAGAGGTGCATGGCTGCCCATCCATCATGTATCGATACCTTGGCCTTTCCCATTGCAGCCGGAGAGGAGAAGCTCAGGTGGTAAATCCATGGGTACCTCCTATGACGCTTGTCCAACATTACGCGTTTGTATTGCTGTTCTGTAGGCACGCGATATAATAATTCGCCGCACCTGTTGCGCAAAAGGGGCGAAGGACCATCATGCAAGTAAACGTACGAATTTTTCTCGAATTGGAGTCGCCATTTGTCCGTCCTTTAGATGATCGCCCATGCTGCTGTACGCGTCCTCGGCATCCATCAAAGTTCAGCTGGTTGAGAACATCCAATTCAAAGCAGGACCAAATTTATAGTATATTGAGCTGCAGGGGCTGGCTACACAAAAGATTTTTTTAATATATATATTTTTAATACCAGGTACCTACCTGAAGGTACCTGTAGGTACATGATAAAGAAAAGAAGCAGAAGGCTGAGGAGAAAAAAAAAAGCGATTAATCAAATGAGGGGTCCAGTCAAACAATCGGGTGGAAAAGGAAACGGGGGGATGAAAAAATGAGAATTAGGAGCGCAAGATTTCGTTGTGGCGGGGTTTCATTGAAACGCGATTTCATAAGAAGGAATTGTTCGCGCAGGTGCAACACAACGAACGCAGGGACCAGACGGGAAGTTAATGCAACCAAGGAGTCAATTGAGATTTATTACTCTTCATCTGGTCTCTCTCCCTTTGTTATCGTTTGCTAGACAACGCGAGCTTGTACAGACGATCCAATTCAGATTCGGATATGTAACCCCACTCTAGATCGAGACATGGAATAGGTAGGTAAATAGGAAAAGTTGGGGAAAGTCACCTGGTGACTGGCTTTATCCATCGCGCGGTAAAGAGACCTGAAGTGGGTAAGGAACGTTTGGAAAGAGCAAGGACTTGCCATCAAGTGACACATTAGAGTCGTATAGAGGTACAATGACCCGTATAATGAATTATATACTATTGAATGTACTAGTTATCAATTGTATGCGAAGTGAAGGTCTCGGAGTACCTAAGGTGTACCTACAATATGAGGTACCTAGGAAAGGATGGCGGGAGGGTGTTACTGTGTCAAGGCTGGCAGGGGTGTGGGGAAAATAAAAGCGGATCCATCACATCAGCGGCTGTCCAATGATAATGATAACCAGCCATCCTACAAACGGCGATTTCCCCTCTATCGTCTCTTGAGGCACACCCTTCTTCACCTTTGCCATCTTTTTGGTTGTTTCATTTTTTTTTCTCCTTCGCCCACTCAGGTGCATGATGCTCCGTTATTGTTCATCCATTGGGTGGTCGCATTCATACGTGCATACATAATAGGCCCAGACGTCCAATCCGTTTACTGTTTTTTTTTTGTGGTCTTTTATTCCCTTTTGTACCTTTTGCTTCAAGCAGACTGGACAAGGACTTTATGCTGCTTGGCTGATTTGCCCTTCTCTACCTACTCAAGCAAGTACCTACTCAAGCAAGCTATTCGGCTCTAGTATTCCATTTTCGATACAATCAAATAGGAGATCCTGTCGTCAAAAGACGAGAGGTATCCGAATCTGTCGAGGCATGTCTGCGGCACACTGACTGCGAAGCAAAAACCAATCAAATAGCCGGCATCTTCTTACACACCTTTTACTATTTGCATTGCTGCATCACAACATCATTGGTGCTTATCAGAATTCGGTTTTACTGCCTCTTGTACTACGTATTGTACTTACCCCTTGCTCCCCTTGCTTTTCCTATCCCCCATTGCATTACCAGGGACAATTCTTTTTTTCCCCGGAAGCCTTTACAGGGCTGTACGGAGAATGAGACGATAATAATTCAGATCGCGACGTATTGCTTCAAACTGGAAACTCAGACTGGTTGCCTTGTTGACATTCTAACTACGTCTTGTCAACCGACAACGATTCACGATTGTAACATCACCAAGAGGCCTCAGCCCGACTCATACCACCGCCCCCCTCCCCTCCCTTAGATATCCTTAGAATTTCAACCTCAAGGCTGTAAGAATAGACAAGTCAAGGCCTCTCTCTGCCTTTACACTTGAAACATCCCTCCCCGGTTACTGAACTAACAGTGCAGCTTACCACAATCTTTGATTTTCGCCAGTTCTGCCGAAGGTGACATCTCTGCGTCCATGGTTCTCTTATTCTATCGCAACCAGTCGAGTTCCCAATCTCAATATGGCTGCGGCCGTGTTTACAGAATCATGCGGAAGCGCGACAAGAGACGGGTTTAATCAGCCAAAGAACCAGCCTCCCACCGCGATTGCGACTTTGCATTGGGACGAATTGGACCTGCAAACTCGACTAGAGCTTATTGCAAGAGCTTGGCTTTCGGTTTCGACAGTGTTGACATCGGTATGTGTATTCTACCTTAAGCATCTTATTCTATAGCATTCTAGCTATAACCTATATTATGCATGAATGGTTTTAGTAGGCCAGTCATGGTGTGGCACGGCTGCCATTACCAGGGATTTTGAGAGCTGTATCCTACACACTGTCGTAGTAGTTATCGAATGTCGAAGCTGATAGATGTGATCCGGAATAGGAATCAAGTTGCAGGTATAATCAAAATATCGGCCGCCGTGCTATCTCTAAGCCGCTGGTGTTACCTGACGCTACTCCGAAACGATCGCGACGATTATTGAAGCTTCGTGATGAAGATACCCTCCCCCTTGAATTACTAATTGACCCAACTCGAACCGGTGAAGATGCCCGTCAACAAGATTACTCTACGTTAGTGAACCACCAGGCCCCCCCGCTAGATGACGCCCGGTGCCAGCGAAGGAAGTTGTTAATCGAAGACCCAACAACCAAGCATTATTTGGATTTTCTGTCACAAGATGGCTTTATTCAACATGCCAGAAAGAAGAAAAACAACACAAAATCAGGAAATGTTTTCGATTGGGATCAGGCAGCGAAAGAAACCGGCGCCGGAGCTGGTGGGGACGATGACGGCCAAGACGGTGATGCAGGAAACACTGGCGGAGGTACGGGCGGCGATGGCCAGGGTAATGGTAAGGGTGGTGATGACGATGGTAATGACAAGGATAAAGACAAGGGTAAGGGTAAGAATGATGCTGAAGAGAAGGAAAAGGAGAAGGAGAAGAAGGAGAGGGAGAAAGAAAAGAAGGACGACGCAACCAACACAAAATCAGAAGATAGCATGGCTACTGCCGAGACTATTAACGGTAAGAAAAAGAAGAAGAGCAATACACTAGTTGAAGAGAGGGCTCAATCCTTCGAAGCAGCAGGTAAACCCAACACATTCCAGGACGTCAAGTTGGATGAGCCCCCAAGAACGTCTCTAGATCCTCCGAGGACCTCTTTAGATATCAATTCCAGTGGTAGTAGAACCACACCAGAGCCTAGGTCCGGTTTTCTCGGTGGCTTGAGTCGCGGTTTCGGGAGCCTGTTTGGGTCTAAAGATACAGACCACACAAAAGATAAGGAGGAGAAGAAGGAAGAAAGGAGGGAAGAGACAAACGCCAGTTCTGGGAGCATTGATCGACCTAAACTCAAGGATAAGACAGGATTTGGGTTTGGGTCATTCGACGAAACAGATGAGAACAAGGTCAAGATACCCTCTAAAGGAAAGCCTGAAGAGAAGGACGAGGGGTTTGACTTCGGGCTAGGTTCAAGTAAAAAGGATAAGAGCAAAAAGAAGACCAGCATTTGGGACCCCGAACCACTACCCGAAGAGACACCCACCGCTCAAAGTAAGGAATTCGAGTCAAATGTACCTGATGACAACCGGGGAAGCACCTGGGACACTGCTACTACCGCTAAGAAGAAGGGCAGAAAGGGTTCCGCTGTCATAGCACCCGAGCCTGAGAAGATTGAGCCTGTGATCAAAACTGGCAATACCGCGATGGCTGCGATTGACTTGCTTGTCCCACCATCTAGGAAGGACAAGAAAAAGAAGAAGGGTGCCATTGAAGAAATTCCTGAGCCCGTGTTCCCCTCACCGGAATTAGAGCCAGAACTTGATCCAGAAAAGGAAGAGAACCCCTGGAGCGATTCATTTGGAACATCTTCCAAGAAAAGTAAAAAGAAGGGAGTCGAAACACTTAAGGAGTCTGACCCGCCTGCTCTCGACCCAGAGCCTGAAGCTTCGATCCTTGAGGGTAGTAGGGGTTGGGGTATAAAGGACAAAAAGAAGAGCAAAATCGGAGAGGTGCAGAAGGTAGAACTAACAACTCCGCCTGAACCTACCAACACAAGGGAGGAAGACAATATATGGGACTCGACAACTGCAACGAAAAAAGATAAGAAGAAGAAAAGCAAAGCTATATCAACCACGCCAGAGCCTGTTGTTGAGATAGTAGAGGAGAAACCCGAGCCCAATCATGACGATGCCTGGGGGCTTTTTGGAGCCATCAAGAAAGAAAAGAAGAAAAAGACGAAAGACCCTGAGCCCGAGCCTATTCCAGAACCAGAATCTGTAGTTGAAGCCGAACCCGAGCTTGAGAAGGAAGACGACTGGGGAAATTGGGGTGCACCTACAAACAAGAAAAGGAGCAAAAAAAGTAAAGGCGTTGAAGATAATAAAGACGCCGAACCAGTGCTAGACAAGGTGTCTAAACTCCCAGCAGAACCAGAGAAGAAGGAAGACGAATGGGGTATCTTTGGCATTTCCACTAAGAAGGACAAGAAGAAGAAGAACACTGCTGCTGAAGAGCCGTCTAAAGGAATATCTAAAGAATTTGAATCCGAGCCAATCGTACTACAAGAACCTGATGATTTCCCATCCTTTACAATTACAACAAAAGAGAAGAAGAAGAAGAAGAAGAAAGGTTCAGTAGAGCCAGAACTGGAACCTCAGCCCGAGCCCGAACCTATTTCAGAGCCAGTGCAAGGGATTGCACCGGAACCGGAATTAGAACCTGTAAAGGAAACCAACCTCGCAGACGATGATATCTGGTCGTCATTTGGCTCTTCCTCGAAAAAGGACAAGAAAAAGAAAAAGAAAGGTGGCGCAGATGAGCCCCCTAAAGAGCCAGAGCCTGTTCCCGAGCCCACACCTGAATCAGACAGGGTCGAACCTGCTGATGACTGGGCGACTTGGGGGGTTTCTAGTAAGGATTCAGGCAAGGGTAAGAAGAAAAAGAGCATCTTAGATGAGCTTGCCCTTAAAAAATCGGAATCTGAACTGAAATCAGAAACACCGCCCGATCAAAATGATGATGACGTGTGGGGGCTTAGTAGCTCTAAAAAGGACAAGAAGAAAAAGAGTAAGACGGCCACAGCCATCTTAGAAGAGCCATTTAAGGTAAAGGAAGAGGCACCACCAACTCCACCCACACCTGAACCAAAACCTGAAATGGGACACGTTACCACTTCAGCTACTGAACAACCGACTGCTTGGAGCTTTTGGGGTGCAACCAAGAAGCCCACCAACAAAGTGAAGGAGGAATCTCCCATCGAAGAAAGGCACGAAGGTTGGCTAGATTGGGGCAAGAAAAAAATCAAAGCTTCCACAGCTTTAGTCGAAGTTAACACGGAACTAGGACACGAAGGTTCAGGGTCGTCATCCGCTGTCGCTGAAGGTGATGAGTTTTGGGACGGACTTGCGACTAATAAGAATAGAAATAAAAATAGCCTGATGCCGGACTCTATTGAAGAGCCAAAGAATGACGACCCCTGGGCAAGCAGCTCGAAGAAACAGAAAAAGAAGAAAGGTAGCAAGAATATTCCGGTCGAGATCGAGAATGAGCCTCATCTTGACAGTCTCAAACCTGACTCGGTTGAAGAGAGCAGGGGTGGTAATTCAGATGACTTTGACTGGGACTGGGGAAGTTCAAGCAAAAGCAAGAAGAAATCTCCACCTCCAGCACCTACACCGCCTTCATTAGAAATGAGCATGTCGGACCAAGAAATAGGGGAGAATGTCTGGGATGACGCCAAAACCGGAGAAAACGAAGAGGAAAGGAGAGCAGCCGAGGAATTGGCAAATCAAATCGCCGCTGAAGAAGACGAGCTGGCGGCTTTGACAGCTAAAAGCAAGAAGAAGAAACTTTCCAAGTCTAGCCAGAGAAGATTTGACGAACTCACTGCGAAAGCCAAACGTCGTGTTAAAGAGAAGGCAGCTAAGGAAAAGGCCGCTAAAGAAGCCGAGAAGGCAGCTGCAGCGGAAGCCTTAGAAGCGGAGCAGAAAGCAGCGACGGAAGCTCAGGAGGCCGAAGAACTAGCTGCCGCACAAACGCTCGCGGACGAAATTGCGGAAGAGGAAGCAGAGCTTGCCGCACTGATAGCCAAGAGCAAGAAGAAAAAGAAGTTCAAAGCAGTAGACCAGATGAGGCTTGATGAGCTTACCGAAAGAGTCCAGGCCCGTGCTGATGCGAAGGCATCCGAGGAGGATCAGGGTCAAGAAGCGCCTGACGCAAACGGAGAGACTCAAGAAGCAGATGAGCAGGCGGAGGCCGAAGAACAGAGAGAACGAGAGGCTAAGGCACAAGCAGCGCGCGAAGCGGAAGAGGAGGAAGCTCGCGAGGCAGAGGAGCAAGCCAGGCGCGAACGCGAGGAGGCAGAGGCGGCAGCCAAGAAAAAATCAAAAAAGGGCTCCAAGTCTGAGGATAAGAAGTCCAAATCTACTAGTGCTAAGGATAAGTTGTCTAAGAAAGAGAAGGAGAAAGAGCGGGAAAAGGAGAGGGAGAGAGAGGAAAAAGAGAGGGAAGAAGAAGAAGAAGCAGAAAGACAGAGACAACAGGAACAGGAAGAAAAGAAAAGGGACGACGATGATGATCTGGATCTCGACAACATTGATCTTGCCCCCGAACAGATCGACGAACTTTTATCTGGCTTTTCAGCTCCCAAAATACAACCTCAGCCTAAACCCAAGGCTGAAAAGCATAAATCCGATGCATTCTCATTTTGGGGCGCTAGGGCGAAAAGCTCCTCACCTGAACCGGTAAGTAGCTCTAAGACACCAAAAATTTGGGGAGTCAATGAGAATGTGGATGGGAGAGGCATGGATGAGAGTAGATGTGCTGACTCATCAAAGCTTCCGGAAGAACCCCCGGCCCCCCCCGTTGAGGATGCACCGTCGTCTTCGAAGGCACCCACACTCGACGATGACTGGATGAAACCAAAGAGGACTAAGGCTAAGAGCGGTAAACTTGCCGAAAAACTTAGGAAATTTGAGCCGGCCAAAGAGGAAGAAGACGATGATCTGATTTACGGGCTGGCTGCGCCGCCGCCACGTGTTCGTGTCGCACCGCCCGTAGAGGAAGGTGACAAATCTAGTTCCTCTAAAGATATCCTCCCCGGGGGTTTCCCCGAAGAGGACGAGAACGAAATCATCGATATCGTTGACATGGCGCCCGTACAGAAGAGAAAGATGAGCAGCAAGAAGAGCAAAACCAAGACCGTCGTCGAGGTACCCCCTCCACCACCTCAGGTTCCTATTCCGCCACCACCTCCCGAAGTGCCGCTTCCTCCTCCAGCTGTTCCCGACGGGCCCCCGACACCACCACCCGAAGTCAAGTCTTCTAAGAGAGATCGGCACAAGGTTAACCGCGATGGTGGTGCATCATGGACAATGTGGTCGGCAACACCTCACAAAGAGGAGAGGAGATCTAAGCCTAGGTCTGAAGAGAAGAGGGTCCGGATAGAGAAGGAGAAAGAAAAAGAGAAGTCATCTTCTTCTAAAGGCGAGTCGTCGGACAGAGATAACAAATCCGAAGAGCACTCGGGAGTGAAGTCGCCGCCAACCGACAAACCACGCCTCAGCAGTGTATTTCAAAGCACCCCTCCAGTCTCACGCTCTATGTCAACCCGTGACAAACACTACAGTACGAGCAAGTCAACTTCGCGTCGTCATTCGGTCGATATGGCAAACGGTCTCGTATCCCCGCCACCAGAGGAAATACCCGTAATGTCCTCTAAGGCTGCCAAAATCTTCGGCGTTGACAAGAGCCAAAAGAGCCGTACCCGCAAGGTTTCTATGGCATACCCATTAGATGATGAGGATGTTATGATGACTGGAGTGGGGGGCGGCCCTTCGAGCCCTGAGAAGTCGGCTCGTAAACGATCGAAGGTAGGGACACACTACAATACGAATTTCCCTCTCGCTAACCCAAACCAGCCCCAGATCGAGGACGATGCTGTCATGTTCGATACGGAAAACCATGTCAATGCGGTGCCCCTCAAGCGATCAGGCTCGAATGCCAAGAAAGGGATTGCTGGTCTCTTTGGGGGACTCATGTCCTCCACTTCGCGTCCCGAGCCACGTCCTGAGCCACGTCGTCGAAGTACATACCATACCACAGACGATGAAGCTCGGCCTGATAAGAGGGTTAGACGGTCCGCACGAGATTACCACATCGTCGACGCAGAAGCCATAGACGATGAGAGAGAAGCTCGCCGTGCAGCCCGCCGTGCAAGAAGGGCCGAAGAGAAAGCAGCAGAAGAAGCACGTCTTGCGAAAGAGGAAGAACGGCGCGAAAGACGGAGAAGGCATGAAGAGGACGCCGAAGCTCGCAAACAAGCTGAACGCGAGGCCCGACGGGCTGAGCGTAGAGCCGCCCGGGAACGCGAAGCAGAACGCCTCGCGGTCGAGGGTAAAGAGGCTGAAAGAGCCGAAAGACGTCGGCTTCGTAGGCTCGAAAAGGAAGCCGCCGCTGCTGAGGAGATGGAAGCAGAAGCCCGTCGCGCTGCTAGGGCCGAACGGCGGCGAGCGCGCTATGCTGACGCCTCTGGGGACGAAGAAGAACGCCGACGGAGGAGACACGAAGCTAGACGTGCCGAAGAAAAGGCCGCTAGAAGGCGTACCATGCCTGCAGACGAATATGTATACCCTCAGGAAAGATCTTCGCGACATACTATAGATGATCGCGATCGCGATCGTGATCGGAAACGAAACAAAGCGCAGATTTGGCCCCATTCAGGTACAGATTCGTGGGTAAAGGACCATTCAGATCCTGGACCACCCCCTGAGGATGGTCCGACTATCAATGCACCTCCTCAGGATGATGAAGAGGCTCGTCGTGCAGCACGGCGAGCAGCCCGTCGTCGCGCGAAGTATGGGGACATTGATGCGGAAATGGAGGATGATAGACGACGCCGTCGCACGCGCCACGATGAACGAGGTCAACGAGATGAACGAGATGAACGAGACCGTCGCAGAGACCGTCGCGTGGGCGGTTCGGATGGCAGTGCTGACAAGAATGGTGCTAAGGGTGGTCCGCGCGAGTCTTTCTTCACAGACTCTACTCCTCGAAGTAGTTGGTGGAGGAAGCTTACCGGCTCTTGAGAAGCTCTAGCCTTGATTAACAGAAGATGCTGTCACAATTGGTTGCCGGCATTATCGTTTGGATATTTTCTTTTTGCATTATTATTCTCTTTTCGGTTAAACATTTATGAAGATTTGTGGGATATTTTTGGATTGGATTTTGTGCCTTTCATAAGTCAAGGAGGTAGTGGTTCTAAGGGTTGGGTATTCTCTTTTTTTCTCAGATGTGTAATAGGACCCGCTAGCTTTGGAGCATTGGTCGTACTGTATGGCATGGGACAGCCGGGTTTGGATATATGTTGGTTTCGGAGTGACGTGGCAAGGCTGAGGGGATGGGGAGGCAAGCAAGATGCAAGATTTGGGGAATAGGTGGACTGGGTCCATCCAGATGAGGCCCGAGAATACCCGATTGGGCAATTTAGAAGATGAATGCATCGTGTGATAGTGGTATGGTAATATGGTAGGTTAGTTTTTGGTGTAAGCGATGCATAACAATATACCCTTTACAGCCTTGTATTCTATCAGATAGCCAGCCAGAGTTGGTTTTCACATTATCATTTGTTAGTAGAAATACCCAATACAAGTAAAATGGAATAAATAATAAGGGGGATAAATACCTGTTATGATGATGTCTGCGTATGTGAAGGGAGTAGACGGTGCCCAAATGCCTAAACATTTTGACCGGACTGTTTTATTGACTCTTAAGCAAGTACCCGAGCACTTGGTTGCTTGCAGCAGGCCACGATTTTTGTTTGCATAGAAACTCTGTTGTCTATCCATTATCTCGTATTGGAAATGTAGAGTAGAAGGAATAAACGTCCAACATACTTGAAACAGTGACGCGATCTTTAATTCATACAAGTGCGTAATATATGTCATGTCGGTTAAGATAGGAGGTAGCTTAAACCTACAAGTATATAAGGTAATGTTAGGTTAGGTAGGTACCTAGGTAGGTTCCTCCTCAAACGCGTGCCTTACGCTCCCAACGCGTTCCTTCTTTGCCTCATGTAGGCATTGATGGCAGCACTTTCCCATCTCCCCTTATCCAGCCCCCCTAAGGGGGAAAAGGTACCCAAAGCAGTGTATGTAGGTACATAGGTACCTAACCTACCTCAACGAAAGGAACCCTTATAATATCTAATTACAAACCTACCTTCCATCAAGCAATGCCGACGCAAAGAAACCAGGCATCCGTGGAGTAGTAGTTAACTTGTTCCTCTCCCATTCCACCTCTCGGTGGCCGAGTGGTAAGGAAAGACCCGGGTGCAAATCCCGGCGGATGCAATCTTTCTTTCTTTTTCTCCTTTTTACCTTCTGTTATATTTCAAGACCTTGTGTTCACGTCCAGCTCGAGGCTGTTCGTTTTTCTTATTTTATTTCTTAGGTTAGGTTAGGTACTTTTCGTTTTTTCTTAGTCTAGTTGTAACTTGTACCTCGTCAAGACGTTGTCGTCGTCGTCGGTCTTCTTCATAAACCCCTTTTATTACTTCTCATTTTGATCCTCCAAGACCCATAACAATTTGCCATGCCATGCCGTGACTTTATACCCCTTACATGTAGCCCACATATGTATATTCTTGCCTTGTTGACATGCCATTCTCTAGGAAACGGTGCCAATAAGGCTCTACTATTTCCTTAGGTACCTATCGCCTTTAAGGTAACTGTCTTTTTATTATTATTATTATTATCACACAGGTAGTATTCGAGCTCACCGAGCTAGTCTCCTCTGACCTATTAATACTTGTGGTATTGTAGTACAACGGCCAGTCTAAGAGTCTAGAATAACTTGATTCCGTTACCCGCAGCCTGCTCCATGAAGAAGCTCTTCACAGGTCCCATAGCATTAATCGCGTTCAAACCCAGCGATCTCAAGGGTACTAACGGCCCGCTCTCCGCCGAGTAGATCTTATGCAGCTTGTCGCAAACCCCTAAGAGAACGTGATTAGGTCCGTACCTCTCGGCGTTGTAAGCCTCCAGCGACATCCGCGTCCCCAGATCTTGTCCGTGTGATACCGAGAACTCGATCATCCGAGCTAGACTCTCCACGTCCCCCTGGCCTTGGTTAAGACCCTGCCCAGCAAGCGGGTGTATCGAGTGGGCTGCGTCTCCTACTAATGCTACCCGCTCTCCAATATACGTATCTGCGTGTCGCATCTTCAAGGGGAACGACGCGATGGTGCCCTCCTGAACGCCGATGACAGCCTGCGGCACCGCCCGACGGTTAAACTGCGTATGCTGTAACCTCCAAGATAGCTCTTCCTCCTGCCCGGAGCTTATCGTATGCATGTATTCAAGATCCACGGGACGCAGCCGGAAGGCCGCGTTTACCAAAGCAACAAAGTCCTTCGGCGACAAGCTCTTTAGCAGCGCGGCGTTCGCGGGAGTAGTAGACCACACGAGAGTCGATAAGTTCCCAGGGAGAGGTAACATGGCGACAGGACCCGTAGGCAAGAACCTCTGGTACGCGATCTTCATACCGTCGCCACCCCAGCCTTCCCCCTCAAGCTCCAACGTCGCCACAACGCCATGTCTCCCGTAATCCCACCCTCTGCTCTCGATCCCCGCAAACGCGCGCACGGGGCTATTCGCCCCGTCAGCCCCCACCAGCAGCCGCGCCGCCAGCCGCTCTCCGCTCGCCAGGTGCACGACGGGCCACTCGCGCAGGTCCAGGTCCTCCGTCTCCTCGCCGAGCGCTATGCCCGCGACCCTCGCGCCGTTGAACACCGTTACGCCGCCCAATTCCTCTATGCGCCGCAGCAAGCCGGACGTCAGGTTCAGGTTCTCCGTCATGTAGGCGATTGTCTTGCCGGCCGCGGGCGGTGTCCACTCGAACTCGATGCGCGCGTCCGTCACCCCGTCCCACACCTGCATCTCGTGGTACGCCTGGACGCGGTCGCGCCGCAGGTGCGCCCACGCGCCGACACTGTCGAGGAATCGCGCCGACGCGGGGGTCAGGGAGCTGCAGCGGTTGGAGAAGCGGTCGGGAGGTAATGTCCAGGAGCGGACTTTGTCTAGGTCTTGCGCCTCGACGAGAGCAACTCGTAGGCCGGCGGTTATCGGGTTTGATCCTTGGGGTCGACGGGTTAGCTTGGACGACGATAGCATTGGGGTGAACGGGGACGTTGCTATTTACGGGGCGCAACTCACTCAGGGCCGTGAGTAGGCTTAGACCGGCGGGCCCGCCGCCCACGCACACGACATCGTAGATATCTGGTTGTTGCGAGCCGACGGTAGCATAGGATCGAGATGGTTTAGGGAGTAATCGACGGCTACAACTTCTACATAAGCTGGAGAGAGGTCTTTGGAGTTGACGTCCAGAGAGGACTATGGAACCCATTTTTTGTGTTAGCTGCTCGAACCTAGAGAGGAACTGCAGTGGGACGACATTCGTCACTTTGTTTGGAGGAGCTTATCGTTGATAACGATAACCTTACCTTATGGAGCCCTGGATAAAGGAATAATGCACTAATATCCTATCGTTTAAATGCATAGGCTTTCTTCATATGTGCATGCTTATATATAAGAGTCTCTTGGAGGAAAATGAAGCTGATTTATCAACTGATTTATTAACTGGCTATTAGAAAATACCTATGAAGTTAACGCCCATACCAACTTGAAGTCCTACTTAACCGTTCCCAATACCTACCTCCCATTGCAAGCCCAGTATCATATTTCTGTTACCGGCTCCTAAAACCTTCCGTCCTTAACCTAATCCAAGCAGAGAGGATATAACCACATATACCTCTAAACTAAACAAAACTTCCTTTTTTTCTTCTTTTTTTTTTTTTTTTTTTTTTGCCGAAAGTCCCTCCACCATGATAAAAGGTATCATACAAGCTCGAGAAACCATTCTCCTGTTCTTCTTACAACTTCGACTCTCCTCGCATCATTCTCCATCAATGGAAGTTGGCGTCGGGCTCACATGCGGCACGTTACCCGCAGCACTCACGGCCTGATGATGCTCGCCGCCATCGGCAGAAGCGCGGCCAGCGCCAGTCATAACATGCGTATCGCTACCACCACTACCGCCCCTCGAGTGCCCGGTGAAACCCGGTGCGGCGCCACCGTCGCTAACGGCGTGACCTCTGCCTCCTCCTGCCATATCGTCGTGTCCCGCAACCGAGCCGTAGCCGTCCGCGTTCTTCTCCCAGCTCTTGAGGTCGTCCTCGGCATCGTTGAGAACCTGCCGAGCTGCGGCGCCGTTCTGGTACGTCTGCCTCGCGTCCCCGGGCGTGACGGGCGAGTCGTCTAGCAGATCGAGGAGGCGCCGGCCGTGCTTCGCGAGGATGATCTGCTTTTCTGCGCGCTCGATCACGGCCGCGAATTCGGCGTCGTAGGCTTCCTTTAGCTTGCTACGAGTCTATTCCCAGTGAAAAGCACGTGATATTAGTTAGCATCTGCAAATAACCCCGTATAATGAATGAATGCTATTGGGTTAAGGTATAAAAGGTAAGTCAGAAACGGCGGTGATTGGCATACGATGTTCGTCAGCTGGGCCTCGGCGACCAGATTCTCAGCCTCGGCCCTAACCAGCTCCTGCTCGAGGATGGCTAGGCGAGGGCTCTGGGGCTCTTTGAGCTTGAGCTTCTGGATCTCGTCGGTGATCTTGGCTTTGGCGTCGCGGCTGGGCTGGACGCTCTTCTCCGTGTTGCGGACGTACTTGAGGACCCCGCGGGCCTCGTCGAGGCCGTGGGCGTACGACTCCTCCTGGGTGCCCAGCTCGGACAGCACAACGCCGATCTTGTCGCTGATGTCGGACACCGCGTCGTCCCCAGTCTGCTCCCCCCACTCTGACAGCTGCTTTGCGATCGTCTCGCGCTCCCGCCCCGCCGTCTCATGCGCCGATACCAGGTTGTTGCTCGACTTGATCAGCTGGTACAGGCGCCGCGACAGCTCCGGCTGGATCGACCCGCGCAGCGACGCGAACGAGAAGCCCTTGCGGCGGGCGGGCGTCGGTGGACCAGCAGGGCCTCCCTTATTAGAACGGATGGAGAGCGAGCGATTCCTAGGGAGAGCAAGTCCTAAGTATTAGCAGGTGGTGGGTTTTACCAGCTGAGACGTAGATAGGGACTGCAGAGGGGTTTACAGATATGTCGATCCTAAAGAACGACTGCTGCCTTTGCGACTGAGCTGAGACATCCGCTCGAGCTCGGAAACGCCCTTGGAGTTGCTGGTGAAGAATTGAAAATCCATCGTGACCTACATGATGTAACGAAGATGGAGCTCGACGTAGCGGGTTGAGTTCTCCCTCGTTTAATTAGGATAGCTACCGACCGACTAGTTAGCTGTTTCCCATCTCTCGTAACTTCTTCATATTTCCTAGGTAAGTAGTTTCTTGAAGTAGTTCCTTATTTGGATCTCGATAGGTTCTCGATGCAACGGTGGAAGGCGCGTGAGGTCCATATCTCATTACTACATGTGTACCTAACCGCGAAAGGGGAGGCGTCCCATTAGACTTACAACAGTATATGCAGCTCGTAGCTTTAGCTATAGCAGACCCGGTATTCAACGCCTCCTAACCTAGTAGCTTAAGATATCTGTTAGAGGTAGGTAGCACTTCCAGTGGGGCGTGGTATGTAAGGTATTCCGCAGATCAGAAGATTACCTTAGGTAGCTGGGTAGGTATGGTCGAGCAAGGGTTTTTATTAGTGTATTAGTAGCAGATGAACAAAGAGCTACCTAGATTAGATGACAACTTGAGCTGTCAAGTCAAGTAGAAGTAGAAAAATATTAAAATTGAATCCTCAATATTTTTTGTTGAAAACAGCAAGATTCATCATGTCTCACATCAAACTCCCTTCCTTCTCCTCGGCCTTAAACAAGCACACTGCACACATCACATTTGCACAAGTGAACATGGATGGCGTTTGTTAGAGATATAGTATCATGTATGTAGAGGCAGTTACTAAATACTGCAAAGCTAAGTAAGCTTTAGTATAAGTGGATGACGACGAAAGAGAGCCAAGGGAACCATCGTGACGTCATATCTTTTCGCCCGACCCCACCAAAGCTCCCCAAATTCAATTAAGAAATAGATATTAGACCCGACCCGATATTAAAAGATGTATATGTATAAATCACAGCTTTATCCTTCTACCAGCCCAATCTTTCATCATAAATTCTTCTCAGTCGTGTATTCCTTTAAGAACGATGCAGCGAATCTTATAGTAAGCCGCATTTCAAGAAGTAATTATTAATTGCGAATTATGTGAGGAAAATAAGGTATATATGAATTGATGAATAAAAATCATCCGTCAGCGGTATCTCGTCTGGCTGGTCCTCTCGTACAGCACGGGGGTGCTGCGGCGGTAGCTGGCCGTGCTCACGCGGGGGCTGTGGTGCGTGTGATGCGAGTGGTAGCTGGCCCGCGGCGTGGACGAGTGGTGGTGATGGTGGTGGTGGGCCTTTCTCGTCGGGATATACTCCTCGTGGTAGTAGTACTTTCGCGAGGGCTCGCCGCCGAAACACATTTTTGATATATTTATAAGGTATATATATATATGTTTGAAGTGTTGAATATAGCTTGAAGAAGAAAGAATAGTAGATAGGTAGGTAGGTATGAATTAATTGTCGTATGGCGGATCTAGCCAAGTCGCTGAGGGGGTAGTTTTGACTTATACCCAAAGGAGGCCAGTCCTTATAGAAGCTTCGAGATAACGACTTCGTTCAAGCGCGGCAAGATCTGAAAATCGAGCGAATAGCGTAGGTTTCTTTTTCTTTTTTCTTTCCTTTTAAATTTTCTTGGGGTTTATCTATCGACACGGATGGTGTTGGGATGTATAGATGACGGTCTACCTCTAACGTTCAAGTTCAAGAAAGCCGGAGGGAGACTGATAGTTCAAGTATTTATCCAGTCTCATAACGACCAAGAGCTCAGCCTTGCTGACCCGAAAAGGTCACGAGGAGGGAAGCATCCAGTGTAACCCTTCGTTTTACCTTAGGTACACACACCGAAAAGACGTGTGTTCTGGCTGATCTAGGTCATTGGCGTTGTCATTGGAGCTAGGATGGTCTCTACAAGATCTTCAAAGATCATCGCACGCATCTTATTTTCTTTTTTCTTTTCCCTGTCGTAATCCCTGCAGCCAATACAGACGATACTAGGTATTGTACATGCATATACAGACATACATATCAGATGTATGCGCATGCAACTATTGACATGACATAGGACCAGAAAAAGAGGGTGGTACGAGAACCGCATAAACCTCGAAATTTTTCACGCCACACACGCAGTTCATCAGCGACCCTGGTCCCCCGGAGACCTAAGGACCTGCGAAGACTCAAGGGCTCCGTCTCTCTGGCTTCGGTTCTACAATTCAAGACTTACCAGGCATCTAACCTGCGACTTACCCGCATAAGTAAGAATAGTTCATCCCGTGGCAACCTATAACACGAGGATAAGCAGGTGTATCCCTTGTAGATGGGAGCATTAATACACATTTCCATATAGAACCGTCTCGTTTCCAAGGAAACCTATTACTATACTTTTCCAGCGCTTCCAGATATTCTCCCGTAACTGTTATTCGGATCGATATCCACTATCTAATGCTATGGATAAACACCTAACCCTACCCACTCGGCCAGTAACAAAACCTCATCTTCCTCGCCTTGGACATCCAATCCTCTTTAGTAATACTGCTGCTATTCCTTGGAAATTTAGGTATGCAAGTATAACATGACGCTGTGCATCGGGTCTGCCCTCTCGTATCCCGTTCCCTATCTGGCTTATAGAGGTACGACCTATGATGTTGCGCCGACGTCAGCTTGCAGCATTCAATGGCAGCCAAGTGCCGGTATGCTAGCTTAGCTTCGTCTTGTAGTAACGCCCCGACGCCCTGACGCTCTAACGCAGGACCCTTTTGGAGTACCAACTTACACCCAAAGCGAACATATCATTCATTGCCTTGGTCTTTGCGGCAAAGAGGCGAACAATTAACCCTCGAAATTTAACTAGGTAGGTAGCGTATTAGTTGTAAGAATCTTCACTCTGCCTGTTCTCACTACGACCAGTACTAATAAATCAATACAAAGTACGCAGTTTACTTTCTGTATTCATTCATGCCATATCTAAGCCGCAAGTTGCTCTAGAGTGTTTTCCAGGCCTCCTTTAAACCCTTGAAAAACCTGTAATGTACATGCGCATATGTACCTACCTAACCTCGTCCTAGAGAAAAAAAGAACCAAACGCCTTCATGATTTCGTCGATATGCTCACATCTACTTTTGAGAGTGCCCATATCCCTACAAAAACCGCCAGCATGCTAGAGAATACGACGAATGGCTTGCGAAGGCTGGCCACCAGCGAGTAATCGTACGAGACGATAAGATCGCGGTCTCGGAAGTCGTCTACCAGGTTCCTCGCTTTAATCGTTAGCACTGTGCGACCGATGGTGTCCAGGTACGTCTTTTGTAGATCGACCGAATAATCTGTGATGGAGGACTCGGGGGCTGTTGTGTAGAGTCGAACATTCCTAGGGAATCGTTAGTCGGTGTTCAGCAGCACAAAGCTTGTGGAAGTACTCACTCAGCACCCTCTGGCAAGAGCACGCGGACCTGAACATGCTCGTACGCAACACCCTCGGCCTGTTTAGGTCCCTCGATAAAAGGTACGTTTAATAGGAAGCTGTCCCCAGACTTCTTCCTTAGAAATTGCTTAGCGTCCGAGTTCCAGCCAATCGTGAACGGATACTTCCATCCGCCAAAAACGGGGTAGCGAGGCTTGAGCTCAAGTACAGCCTCACGCTTATTGGAACGGAACCGAGACGTTGACACATTACCAATAGCGTCTGTGAAATAGGCATCCTTGCTTCCGGCTCGGAGAGGGAACTTCAACTCCTTCAAGGCGTAAGTTTGAGGATTGAAATATTGAGCCTGCGCCCATTTCACCCTGTTGAACTGAGCCGAGAGGTTTGCGCCGCGGTTGTAAAGAGTGTACCTCTCTTCAAACGCAATGTTTCCGCCCCAGTGGCTAACTTCGATGTCGCGCTCTAACTGCGAAATGTGCGTAACAGGCTTGGTGAATTCATACCGCACCTTGACTGGAGACACTGCACCAGCTGGTACCTCGGGGAACGGACCATAAATAAGCTTCGAACCCTGCTTCTGCGGGAATTCCTTCGTCTCACCACTCCCAGCTATCTTGGTGTAGTCGGGGATATCGGAAGTTGGAAGCTTGACTTCCGTCTTCTGCTTCAATGTCGGGTAGGCAGATGGGCAGTACGCTGAGAATTGATAGACCAGGTATTGCTTCTCAGCTTGGTCAATCAAAGCTGGCAATGGCACGTACGCATTGAGGTAGTAATAAGAGATGCCTAAGGTCTGTTGACCCTTGGCCGGCAAGGGTGCAGGCAATCGAATGCGATAGTACTGAATGTCGCTTGGTGTTATATTGATATTAGTAACGCAGGGACTATATTCCAAGGCAATGGGGATTCATTTTACCTTAATTGGTCAAATTCGACAGCTTCCACAGCAAAGCCTGTGACGCTAGCAGCCTTGCGATCCTTCACCTCGATACCTCCAATCCTCTCCATCTGGTCGCTAGTGAAGGGTAGGAAGTATTCATCTTGAGAGTCAGGTGACGAGTTCTCAATTAAGACGTTTATAGACTCCTTCGCATAGTTCTTTTCTAGAGAGATAACATGTACCAAGTTGGCATTCTTAAACACCTGCGGCGGCTTGAAGGTAGCTGGAAGGGTAACTTTAGACGAGGAGGGCTCAGAAATGTTGGATTCGCCTAGGACCTGCGAAAAGAAGGAGAAGCAGGTAGCTGCAACTGCAGTGAACTTCATGGCGAAGAAAGACCGGATGGGCTACTCATAAAAAAATGAGTAGCGCCAAATGTAGATGATCAACGGCGTTTTGAGGTGTTGACTTGGGAATTAGCTACATGTGGCTTCTCCAAAGGTCCAGTTGAAGCCAAGAGGTACATCCTAACACCTTTCAAAAAAGTTACCCAAGTTACAGCTTACGTTGCCACCTGGGCAATGCGTGTCTGACCCGGGATTGAGGAAGCAGGTTAATCCGATACGCATTAGGTCATCTCAAAGGCTAGACCTGCACCGGCAGAGTACGGTTAACCCCACAGTTTTGATGGATCCGGCTGTCACCCAAACAGCTAGACCGGCTGGATTTGGTAAACTTGGAAACTAAAAAGACGGAAAGTGCCCGGGCGGGCTAGATCTTTTTTAAAAAATGATAAACAATCTTGCAAGCATCAGGAGTTTTACGAATAAAACTGCCCAGTTAGCCAGTGCTAAAAAGACTCAAACAGCGTTATCTTACGATTCGATATTCGATATCACATGTGATCAGCCAAAGATTTGGTATTGTACTACTTGATGGCTCAACAAATCGAGCAAATCGAGCAAATCGAACAAATCGCTCAAATCGCTCTTGCTCTCTTGCTCTCTTACCAACCTTAATAATGCCTGGTTTGGTTAGGTACCTATCTAGATACCTAATAAATGCGAGTACCGTATCCCGTATCCCGTATCATTGGTAAGATGGTAATCACCCCACGATAGCATACCCCCAGCAGTGACGAGACCTTGGATGTTAAATGCGGGGTGACGGACATGCAGGTTTTTGTTCTAATATGTTGCACCTCAGCTCATCCAGAAATACCTACTTACGGATTTCCATATAAACAAGTCCACAAATCCCCATATCCGCCAGATGTTATCGCAGCCAAGATGTTAATATCATTATCATCATCATACATACCGTACCTGCCTAACTACCTAAGTATAATAAATTAGGTAGCTTTAAGCATTCTGGAAGCTACCTGACATACCGTTGACATGATATACATAGTTTGAAATGAGCACTGAAATTTGGCTACGTGCTAGTTTAATAAATAGGTAGGTACATAAAAACATTTTTAGACTACGGGATGACATCCCATATCCTCGTGTAATTATCGTTGTCAGGTAATGAAGTAAATCAAAAGGACCTCTTACAGTAAGGTATAGGGGTATTTTTAGTGCGGTCTGGATCCACTCATCCAGGTCAGCTCAGAAGCCAATAAGAAATACTAAATTAGCGGTCGAACCAATGGAACATGACATGGTGGGTCGAGGATGGAGGGGCATTTCGTCAACTTCAAATTCCCCCTCATCATTGAAAAGACCTTGAGCTCCAGCCAGTACCACACCTACTCACGCTTATCTCCTTCTTTTCGCTGCCTTGCCTTACCTGCATATTGATATATTATTTTTATATCAAAGTCTGGTTGAGCTGAGTAAGTTTGTTTCCATTACCTGGAATCCTTTTCTATATGGACCTGCTGCTGCTAGAGCTGTTTGCATGATACTCCCTCCCCCCCTTCTATGTTGCTTCTTCTGTTTCTATTCTGATCATACCATTCATTCACTGCTTACGCTAACTCATAACGCATAACGCATTAGAGAATTCGGACATATCTCATATCTATCTCACATACTTCTTTAATACAGACGTTTAACTTGGATACTAATACAGATATATTATCAAAATGGTTGGTCTCGGTCCTCGCAAGCCGCCATCCCGAAAGGGTACGTGAAAACCTTTTCTCTTATATGATTTAGTTATGCCATATGGGTTTATTTCTGTTATGAAAAAATATGTTGGAGCTATTGTTCAAGCTACTCGAAGCTTAACTGAAGTATCCTGTCTAAGACGCTTTTTCTATACCCACTCTTTATACTCTTCGAATCTTCCTCCTAAATATTTGGCAATTCAACTACCTTAAAGCTCCTTCCGTAGGATTAACTATTAGGGATGAATAATGCCATGAAAGCTTTTCGAGAGTTCGCCAGGCGAATATCGCCGGGATCCCAGCTCGGGTTTGAGGCGTACTTTCCCTGAATTTCACTTATCCTCCAATATCCTCCAAATCTTGCAAATATTCACAGAATCGTTACCCTTACATAGCATACAAACACCTCTTAAGACCATCTATCTCTTCATACCCAAAATCATTACCTAAATATCACCAAACATCGTCATGCAATTCGGACACGCTCGTGGACGCGTTACACGCCTCCATACATATCACCATCATCAACACCAAGTCAATTCAAATGAGGACATCAATGGTTCTTTTAACTTCCAGATGAATATTCTTTTTTACATTTGCTAACATGAGATATTCTAGGATCTATGGCCGATGTGCCAAAGGATCTTCTCTCCGAAATCAAGAAGTTAGAAGATCTGTTCACTGTTGATACAGCCAAGCTCAAGGAGATCACGAAGCACTTCGTGTCTGAGCTTGCAAAGGGTAGATACGCTTCACTTGGATCGTGTTATGTATAAAACAAATACTAACAGAGAAACAGGTCTAAGCGTGGAGGGTGGCAGCATTGTAAGCTTTAGGACACAGGAGTAATGTCCCTTAGAAATAAGCAAACTAACACAAGGACAACATAGCCAATGAACCCAACTTGGGTAATGGATTTTCCAGACGGGTACGAGACAGGCACTTACCTGGCTCTGGATATGGGCGGCACTAACCTCCGTGTCTGTGAAATTACCTTAACGGATAACAAGTCAGAGTTCGACATCATCCAGTCTAAATACCGTATGCCGGAGGAGCTAAAAACTGGCGATGCTGAGGAACTATGGGAATATATTGCCGATTGTTTGAAGCAGTTTATTGAAACTCATCACGGCGAAGTTCCCGAGTCCAACGGAAAGATTCCACTTGGTTTTACCTTCTCCTACCCCGCCACCCAGAACTACATCGACGAGGGTATTTTACAGCGATGGACGAAGGGCTTTGATATCAACGGCGTTGAAGGAAAGAACGTCGTGCCAATGTTAGAAGCTGCGCTTGACCAGCAGGTAAGTTGGATTAAAGCATAGAACCTCCCGGATGTGGTCGTTGACGAAATCGCAGGGTGTCCCTATCAAAGTCTCAGCTTTGATCAACGACACAACGGGAACTCTTATCGCTTCCGCCTACACTGACCCGAAGATGGCTATTGGATGCATTTTCGGAACCGGCTGCAATGCAGCATATATGGAGAACTGCGGCTCCATCCCGAAGTTGGCCCACTTGAACCTGGACCCGAACTTGCCCATGGCTATCAACTGCGAATGGGGTGCCTTTGATAACGAACACAAGGTCCTCCCGCGTACCCCTTATGATATCATCATCGACAAGGAATCCCCTCGACCAGGCCAGCAGGCTTTCGAAAAGTGTATTGCTGGTCTCTATCTTGGCGAAATCTTCCGCTTGGTCTTAGTTGACTTGCATGATAACAAGGACGTTCATATTTTTGAGGGACAGGATATCAAACATCTCCGAAAGCCATATACTCTCGACTCGTCCTTCCTCTCGGCCATTGAAGAGTACGTCCTAGATGGATTTAAAATTTTCTCTCTGGTTTCGTCATGCTGACCCCGTGTAGTGATCCTTTCGAGAATTTGCAGGAGACTGCAGACCTGTTCCAAGAGAAGCTCCGCTTAACTTGTACTCGCCCCGAGCTTGAGCTGATTCGTCGGACTGCCGAACTAATCGGTACACGTGCGGCTCGTCTGTCTGCTTGTGGAGTCGCTGCTATTTGCATCAAGAAGAACCTCCAACCCTGCCACGTGGGCGCTGACGGCTCTGTTTTCAACAAATACCCACATTTCAAGGCGCGAGGCGCACAAGCTCTCCGAGAGATTCTCGACTGGCCGGCTAAGAAGAACTTTAAGGAAGAAGATCCTGTTGAGGTACTCGCCGCCGAAGATGGAAGCGGTGTTGGCGCTGCTGTCATTGCCGCTCTTACATTGAAGAGAGTGCAAAAGGGCAACCTTGCTGGTATTCTGCACCCCGAAAATTTCAAATGAGCAGCAAGGTGATACACGGGTCTAGGGTGGTATAGCTGCAGGGAAGAGGGAAAATGGCATGCATGTCCTTTAGAAGGGTAGATATAGAGAAGATGGTCCAAACAACGAAGAAAAAAAAACAATTGGTGTCTGGCTACAGGACTAGAGACAAGATATGGTACGGAGTTCAGCCCAACAGGGTGCAGGTCGGTAGTCGATACTCTATCCCACAGGTTAGCTTTGCTTTCAAAAAACAAAACGAAAAGAAATCGTTGCAAGACCAGATCACGGAAATTGACTTACTGTCCAGAGTCCAATAACGTCTTTTAACGCCTTCCCATTCCCCTTCCCCTTCTTTTCCTAGATCTTTCATGTCCACCTCCAACTCCCGCCACTCTACATCCATACCTGCGTCGCTGAGGTGCATCTCGACCACCTGAGCATAAACGTCGTAGCAGATCTTCCGATCGGCGCCTAGGCCGTTGAAAAACCCGAACCTGCCCTGATCCTCGAGCAGCGCGGGGACGTACTCGGTGAAGAACATGCGCAGCTGCCCGTAGTCCTCGCCGAACGTGTCGAAGTAGATGGCGTCGTACGTCTCGCCCTGCTCCAGCAGCTTCGGGACTACATCCTGCCACCTGCCGCCGTGGACCTTGTAAGCGCCCTCGGACGGGCCGCCGGCTTCCCATTCCCTGCCGAACTTGGAGTCGGGGGAGCTGCTGATGTGCTTGAGGACACTCGGGTGCGCCTCGATGACGTGGTGTTTCTCCGGGCGCGTCGCGGCGAACATGCCGTCGACGATGCCCATGCCGAACCCGACGTTGAGGATCTTCTTCCCCGTGGGGAGGCCCGGGAGCAGCGCGTCGACGGAGGCGCGCATGATGGATGTTTCCCAGGCCACTGTTTAGAGGGAGAAAAAAATAAGAATAGGAGTTAGCTAGTGTACCTTGCATGCATCTTGCGCTCTTGTCCCAAGCAAAAAGTCAACTTATACGGTAGGTTAGGTACGTACTCATCACGCCGTTTTGGGCCGAGTCGACTAGCTTCCCGTCGCTGTAGGTGAGGTTCGAGCGCAGGTAGTCCGCGCTGTTGACGTTAGGCCCGACGGTGCCTTTTGGTGGGACGAAGGCGCGGTCCGAGTCTACTACTACTACTTCAGCTTCTTCTTCTTCTTCCTGCGCACCGTCGCGTTCTGTATTTTCAACATCTTTCTCTCCTTTTCCTTCTCCTTCAACATTGTCCTCCCCCTTTTCCTTTACTTTTTCATCTTCCTCATCTTCCTCGTCGTCGTCGTCGTCGTCGTCGGACTCAAGCTCCTCGTACCCGTCCAACAAACCGAACAGCAGCTCGGCCCGCACGCCCGCCTCGACGCACAGCGCGTACAAGTCCGCGAGCCCCAGCCGCGCGGCCACGCACCCGGGCGTCTCGTTGTTGTCGTCGACGTCGTTCCATATCGCGCCGCTCATGAACAGCTCGTGCACGACGGCCCTGGCGTTCTCTCGGGCCTTATCTTCATCTTCGTCTTCGTCCGCGTCGTCTAGCGCGCCCTGCCGCCGCCGGTTTGCGGGCGCGCAGGCTCGGATTGCCGCGTGCAGCGGCGTCTCGCCCGTCGTGGGCTCCTGGACGCTGGCGCGGCCCGGCACGGTGAGTAGCGGCTTGAGGCCCGCGAGGTCGTGGTGCCAGGAGGGGTAGAGGATCTGGGAGACGGACGCTGGGCACGAGGCGGGGATGCGCGCGTCGATGCTATCGCTGTTTGCGGCCATGGTGTATGTCTGGTCGGGTACCTAGGTCAATTATCTAGGTATATATGGCTATGCGTTTCATGTGACTTGTCGACGAGATAGGGGGGTAGGTATGGTGGGGTAGCGAAGAAAATTCAGGGTTCCGATAGTTTATCTAGGAGGTAGGTACCTAAGGTCAGGTACCTGAGGGACTAACAGACTGCTAGACTGTATTTTCTCCAACTGTTCAGCGCTGAAGTACAGGCCAGTTACGGGCCAGGAGTGAACATTTGGAAGGGCTGACACGTGCTAACTCAACTCTAATTGATTGGGCAATGGCAGCTAGAGGAATACGACGAGTGGAGAACAACCCCTGTAATCATGACGCGAAGTTGCTTCAGTTTTCTAAGCTTCACAACTTACAACCTCAACCTCTCATTGTACTATATTCTTTTGCAACCACGCGCATTTATTCATTGCAATACTACCCATCATTAGGTACCTTAGCCTGCAGATTTAATTCCGAGACCGTCATACTATCTCAATTGCTCTCTTTTTAGCAAAATCTATTATTGTTATTAGTATTTTCTCATTTCCTTGTTTCGAGCGCGGATACGCGATATTATTGGTGATACTCTTGTTGCTATTCGAAGACTTGGGAATAGATTTTCTCTTTTTTTTCTATCCTGACTATTTCTTATTTTGTACGTCCATACTACTGTGTTTAGTATTTATTAATGTTCCTCCATGCTGATTATTGAAGACTTGGCTACAAGAAAGATTACCTGGCGTTCGACTCGATACTCTGATACTAAAGAGAGGTGGCGCGCGCGTCCAGGTCTAATCGTCATGAAATTCGGCGAGCAGTTGCGATCTAGCATTATTCGCGAGTACCAATGGTATTATATCGACTACGATGGACTGAAGGAGGAGTTGAAGAAGGCCTCCGGGCCGATTGTCGAAGCCGATGAAAGCTCACCGGGATCTGGAAGCAGGAAGGGTAAAGCCAAAGCTAAGAGCCAGCAGAAAAATAGATGGACAGAAGAGGATGAGCACAGGTTTATTAGCAGGCTATACGCGGAGCTCGATAAAGTCTACACCAAGACCAAAGTCAAGCAGTCGGAAATTCAACGTCGTATAGCGGTCAGCGAGCGGGAGGTGAAGGAGGTCGTCGCTAAGGTTAACGAGCGAGGCTTAACAGAACAAGGGCCATCCGAAGAGGAATTCATATTACTTGAGCAAGACCTAAGCGATATTATCGCTGACGTCCACGATCTTGCCAAATATGTTCAACTGAACTATACGGGGTTCTATAAGATAATCAAGAAACACGACGTTCGTGTGCCTATTTGAGTCCATCATTTTGCAGAGAGGCTAACCAACGACATAGAAAATGACAAACTGGCTCCTCCGACCCTCGTTCGATGCTGCGCTCAAGAACAAACCCTTTTATAATGAGGATTTCGACGCCGAAGTAGTGAAACTCTCTAACATGTATAACATTGTTAGGACGCGTGGCAATCCCGTAACAGGTGACAGCTCTGCTGGCGGCACTCAAGGTAGCTTCGTCCGCCAAACGACTAAATATTGGGTGCACCCAGATAATGTCACCGAACTAAAGCTCATTATCCTGAAGCATCTGCCCGTGCTTGTCTTCAATGCTAGCAAGGAATTCGAACCGCAGGATTCTGCCATTTCTTCTATTTATTTCGACAACCCGGAGAGATGGGACCTGTATGAGGGTAGGCTAAAGAAGACTGAGGGTGCTGAAGCTATCCGTCTTAGATGGTATGGCGGCATGCAGACTGATACCATCTTCGTGGAACGTAAGACACATCGCGAAGACTGGACAGGAGAAAAGTCTGTCAAAGCTCGCTTCTCTATGAAGGAGAAGAATGTAAACGCATATTTGAAGGGAGACCTACTACCGGCGGCACTCTTCGAAAAAGCTCGAAAGGATGGCAAGAAATCCGAAAAGGCAATTGCCGAGGACGAGACTCTAGCAAGGGAGATCCAATACTCGGTTTTGAAGAACGGATATAAACCGGTTTGCAGGTCGTTTTATAACCGAACTGCGTTCCAACTGCCAGCTGATGCTCGAGTCCGAATTTCACTTGATACTGAACTTGCAATGATACGAGAAGACAACCTAGATGGAGTTCCACGATCTGGAGATAATTGGAGGCGAATGGACATTGGGATTGACTATCCCTTCTCACAGCTGCCTCCTGGAGATATCGTGCGTTTCCCTTACGCCGTCCTAGAAGTCAAACTCCAAACCCAGTACGGACAAGAACCTCCAGAGTGGGTTCGTCAACTTATCTCAAGTCACCTTGTGGAAGCTGTTCCCAAGTTTTCCAAGTTCATCCATGGGGTGGCCTCGTTGTTCCCCGATCGAATTAACCTCCTACCTTATTGGATGCCTCAGATGGATGTGGATATTCGCAAACCGGTAACCCATAACTTTGGCATCCACCGGCCAATGCATTCTCATACCAGTGGTACGACTTCAGATGATGACGATGACGATGACGACCTCGACTCGGATGCTGAAGACACCACCGACACCGGATCTGCAGACCCTTCAGGTCAAAGGAACATATTGTCGAGTGGTTCTCCAGCTCTCGCATTAGGGGACGTTGAAGGGCAAACAGTAGAGGGCACAGTTGCTAACCAAGATTATCCCCTGTATGACTCCGATGATGAGGTAGACGAGGAGGATGCACTGGAGGAAGCAAGGAGAGTTGGCGGCTGGACCTACTATTCAGCTCTGGCTAAGAAGTACGCGGGCGTAGCAGGTCGGGGGGCATGGTCGGTCATAACGGCTATTACACCACGACCCCGAGCTTCAACCGTGCCTCGCAGCAACCGAACGCAAATGTTCTTCGGTGACCAGGATGTCCAGGTCAAGAAGTTCAGAGCCCCGAAGGGCAAGAAGATTTACGTGCCTGTCAGAGTCGAGCCTAAGGTCTACTTCGCGGCGGAAAGGACCTATCTTAGTTGGGTAAGTTGTATATTATTATATTCCTCAAGCTTCTCCTTTTTTTTTTTTTTTTTTTTTTTTTTACTAATTAGTTGCTAGCTCGAGTTCTCGATTTACATCGGTACCATCGCCGTTACGCTACTTAACTTCGGCACCAAACCCACCAAGCTTTCGTTCATCGTGTCCGGACTCTTTACCTTTCTGGCTATCCTTTCTATCTGCTACTCCGTTGGTATCTACCTGTACCGGAGCAAGGGAATCCGTGAGCGCAGGGTCATCAAGTACTATGACAGATGGGGCCCGAGTATCTTATGCACTGCCCTCTTTGTGGGCGTAGTACTGAACTTTGCGTTTGAAGGTAGGGAAAGGGCGCTGTGGTAAATTTGGATTAGGTATCTAGCCTTACCTGGGTAATCTATCTGCTTATGGCTCTTATTAGGAATCTTACACTATCTAGGCTTTCTTGGGTAAAGTCGTATTAGGCGAAAGGGATGGTAAAATGATGTTGAGACATAGATGTTCATGTAGAATGTCATGTAACGTGCCTTATATGACTGCATATGGGATTAGTTCGAACTAGGGTTTATGATGGGAAGGTGAGGGAGCAAGCTGCTGAACATGGGGGGAAGACGAGAGTGAAATTGGTAGTTCATCTAATACCTACCTAGGTATCTAGCGTACCTGATAGGTAGCCGACACAAGAATTAGTTTGTAAGCATTAAAAGCATTAAAAACAATTGTATAGAAGAGATTTATATATATGCCTTAGGTTAGGTACCTACCTGGATATAAATAAGGAAACTAAAATACTGTAGCGGGTAGCTTTAATACTAGGTACTCTACCTATTCCCTTGCATACCTACCTACCTAGGTAGTGAATTAACGTACTGTTGATAGTTGTCTCTAGATGAAGTTATACCAGAATTAGTTATATACCTATCTTAATGTCTTCATAAACCCAACGTGATGTTGATATTAGTATCCGTGGCTAAGAGCAGGTAGTTTCCCTCCCGTTCTCGTCAGAGAAACGTTATATTCTAGTTTTAGAAGAAGATTATCCCAAGTTGGGTATTTTCATTCAGTCGACTTTCCGGTTCATACCCCATGCTTGCTTATCTTAAATACCTGGACTACCATATCCCCCCAGAAACGATCAACGGCCTAGTATAGGTACCTTCGCTAGTCTTGTGCAATAAATATTACTTTAACTGGATAACTATCACTATTTATATGTAAAGCTTACAAAGCCGTATATAAAATGATAAGTTTCATATTTTTGCGATTTATTCTGATCTCATAACCACTTTGTAAATACGGTATGTTTTGGAGACCCTCCCAGTTCGATATGGCCTCGTCGGGAGGCCACCCATGAGCAATTTTTTGCCCCAGAAAGTCTCCTTCAAGTTCTACTCTATTATCTATTATTGCCACTTTAGGCCGGCGATGATTATAATAAGCTCCCATCTCTGTACGGGGTTCGGCTGCGAAATATCTCATATTGTTCATTCAATGATGGCGGTTACAAGGTCCTTCGTTAGCACTTCTTCGGAATTTACGATCGAGGCAATGAAAACGCACTCTTGGGGTCTAATTTCGAAGCTATTATCCAAACGAGGAGTGATCCTCGTCCTTGGCGGCTTCTTGATCGTTTCTATAACTCTTATTCCGGAGGGATTCAGACCACTGACAGGCTGTCTTAGCTGTTCTTTGAAACTTCGTATAATATCCTCTTCGTTCCGCCTATAATTCTCTGAGCCTTTCCTCGCATTCAGATAGACTTGGGAATGGGTATTTATTAGCCATTGTGATGTTTTGAAGATAGGGGCTTTATCTTCGGTAAACTTCGGAGACAACTACTATCAGACCACGAGCAAAGTACTGTAGGATATCAATTCTTGGCCCTACCTAGGTAAATAAACCACTGCAAAATGAAGTGTAAGATAGAAGCCTACCAGCGTTACTCCCGTTGGAATGGAGCCATAAATGTACTACATTAGTTACTTTCTTCTGTATGGTATCAACGCATAGATCGGTCTTGTTCTAATCAAGGTAGCGAACGTCGAAACCGTCAAGACAGCTACAGTTCCTGTCAGGGTTGCATTTAGCCACTAGCTTGGCTATTTGCTTTACATGCTTTTTCTTTAACCATTTGAATGTCTGTGTATAAAGTGCTATTTTTCTGTGAGCACGTACTCGCAAAGTTGTCTTAATCTATCTATACTTATTTCAGCCAAACATCGAGTCTTGCTTTCCTTTTCGTGATAATAGTTTACAAGGGCGCGACCTATAGCTTAGGTTAGGTAGGCTTTGTCTTAACCCCCCTTTTAAGCCCAAGAATATTTTGCAAGCCAACTCGAGGTTGTCGGTAGTATTAAAAACAAACCGGTGACCATGTTTTCCATATTAGGTAGTAAGTTAATAATAAGCCCTTCCAGCAAGAATCCCATGATGCATTCGCCACAATACTAGGTTATAAAACAGCCACCAGACACTCCATCCCTCTCAATTGGTCCAATAATCAGATGAATATTCAATGATCTTCCAAAATAAGGTTGTTACTGTGAATGTACTCGGCAGAGTTTTGTCTACATTGATACCGCGAATTGCTCGTCGAGATCGATTTGGATTCGAGGGCTGTTGGCCAGCCCTTCAATAGGGTCATCAATTCCTTTACCACCAGCCGGCGTGAAGTGGCGAGTACGTTTGATGTTCTTTTCTGAACAGCCTGTAATGCGGATCTCTGGGGCCGTTTCGCCACATACATGAGAGTTTACATTCATGTGGGGAAAGACATTAGGACAACTGGCGAAGTCATTACCAAAATCAGCTATAGACGTCGATCGATTAGTGAAGACAGCTGAGAATGCGCCCTGGCTTGGAGGAGAGTTGCTTGAGCTATTGTCCCGCGTTTCCTTACCAAGGCTGCCGAATGACGGCTGCGACATCTTGCGCATCTCGACATGATCTATGGTTGGCGTATTCTCATTCGGCGAGTCCTGGTAAAGTCGATTCTCCTTGCGCGACTTCACTTCAGGGGCTGATGGGACAATGCTTCCAGCATGAACAGGAAGCGGATGTGGTTGATTCAACAATGAATGCGTTAGAGAATTTGCGAGCTCGGAGGAGAAATTGGCGTGGCTAGTATTGAAAAAATCGTTTATCGAAGTACCTGTAATTGAATACTTGTCAGCCTCACTCAGTACGTTTGAGGTGGTAATGAAGATGATGGGCTAAGATACCTCCAGGTGTGCCGATCTTACTCACGTCCAGGTTGAGGTCGTCAATGAAATTTGCCCCAACCAAGGTCGTCGGTGTGTTCGATGGTACTTTGGGATCATTGGTGTTGCTATCTGCGTCTCCAAGATTAGACGCTGAGAGGTCTAAAAATTGATGGTCTGATACGCCTCGAGTAGTGTTAGGATTGCTCAAACCGTAGTCGCGCAAGCTAATATCAGAACGTGATGCCTTACTAATACCGGTGCTCCTCCGGGTGGCTGCAGTGTTGCAATTAGACTTGCCACTGTTGGCGGGTTGGTTGAACCCAGATATGGGCCCAAAGCTGCCGGTTGTCCAGTCAAAGCAAGCAGTAGCTTCAGATTTCTGCGTGCTAAAGGGATCTGCCCAAACAGACCCAGACCCGGATCCCGATCCAGTCTCGTTACGTTGTAACAGTGCCTGGGTATTAGGCATAGAACTGAGCAAACCGTTGGTATTTGCCTGCGTTAAACCTGGAGGACAAGGAGTATAGCCAGATGAGTTTGATGTTCCTTTCATGTAGCTTGTCGTTCGACGACGGGGGGAGTGAAGATGAGCATCCGCACCGTCTTCATGGTGCTGTGAAGGAACAGGCATGGTAGGGTTGAAAGGGGTGCGCCGCCACATGCCAGGATTCGGCCACGCAATACCAGAGCTCTCGAGGATATCTGCAACGCAAACCTGTTAGTACCTATCAAATATCTCCACACGCCAAAATAGAATATTGGGTTGTCTACCAAGAGGAGCATGTTGGAAGGAAAATGCTACAATATTCTTGACTCGTTCGATGGGAACACTTAAAGAATCCCTCGGAAACCCTTCGCTAATGATGATTTTGATTCTTCCTATTTCGTCTGCCGGGCTCCAATAGCTTTGCTGGAGAACTTCGCTGCGGAACGGAGGGAATCTGAGAGTTTCCAGATCACCATTTTTTGTGAAATCTACTCATGGTTAGCTGTTTAATCTAACTTTTGGTGAGATTTAATTACCAAAACTATGATTGATCAATTGAGGCCACGGTCCAATGCGGGTTAATGCCGAGGAACTGGAGGGCAGCTTGATCAGTGGCTGTCCAAACTCAAGATATTTGGATTGAGGACATACGCGACTAGACGGCCGTCAATCAAGACTCGTGCCTCGAACTTGACTAATTCTGGGTGTTTACTGTAGTTTCTGGTGAATTGACTGATATCGGGTGTCTTCCAGGAGTGAAGTGAGATGTTGAATTGGGTGCCCGGGGACAGTCCTGGCATGAAACATGTCATGGTTGGCAAGCCGTACGATCCGTGGCTATATGCAAATTCTTAAGACACATTTCTAAATTAGCCGGTTTGTCCTGAAGAGACTAAAATATGAAGACATGTTACTTGTGTCTAAGGACTAAGGGCTGATTTGAGATACAAAAGCATCTCGATGGGATACATTGCGAGGAAATGTTTAGGTACTCACCATTATCGTGGACCACATGGCAGTTAGTCTTGAACTCCTTCATTGGGATTTTAGAATCTCTGGGAAATAATAGCACATCCCAATCTTCAAAACGCATCTTCACTGACTTGAGGATATTGAACGGCGGGAGTAGAGAAACCTCAAAAGGATATCTGGTTGATACAACGAACAAAACTGGGAATATAGTTGATCACTTTCAAGAGGCATTCGCAGGAAATGTGTGTTCGATAGTATTTTGTGTTTAGTAGTTGGTGAAGTGGACTGAGGTAGAAGTTGAATATTGTAAGTTGTTTGGGAGAGGATGAAATATTGAAAGGTACGTTAGGTAGTTGACGAAATTTCATGTGAACAATTTGTCTATTAAGGCAATGACTCCCTCGAAAGTTCCCAATTTATTATATAACAGTTATCTATTTCGTATGTATATTGAAGGTACGGAACTCTTAGAGCTAAATAGAAGGTTTAGGTAAGTACCTCCTAGGTACCTTTGGTATGTGCAGGAGCGATTCCCGACCCCTATGAGCTCAGGTAAGCAGTTGTATATGCTGGGTAGGTACCTAAGGTATCCTCAACTTATAGGCAGGTACCTAACCTGATGAGCTAGCTAAACAATATTACAAGAGAGAAAGAGGCATTAGCATAGGTAATATTATGCATCAGTGCCTAGGTAGTTCTGGAGTTCTGGAGTTGATATGCTTGGAAACTTAAACTTATAATAATGCAAAGTAAATTATGACCTCGAAGATAAAACGTTTTTATCAGACCAAAGTCCACATGGAACGAGGAATAAAATAAAAACTTGTGATATCCATGGCCTATGAAATTGGACAAGTTAAGACTAGTGCTCTACAGGATGAATAGTCTTGACCGACTTGTCTGCATGTTCGTCTGATATCGCTTTAGTTGTCAGGCTGATCCGTATCGTATTTAGTCTCTTTAGACAAAAATCTGCCCTAGTTAATATATGTACAAACGTCTTTAATCTTCTTCTTCTGTTGCTCCATTTTGATACGGCTCTGGGTCACCAGGAGCTCTTGCCTATAAGTATCGTTAATATCACGACCATATTTACTAACTCAAATCCACTATTAACTTACCCGCACAGCACCAGGGCCGCCTAGCTCCCGTTCAAGACCACCCTCAAATTCTCGGGGGAAAGACGGCTTGTCAGGATATAGTCTTCCGATCACCCAGCATACTCCGACGAAGGTAGCGATGAATGCGCCAATTTGCAGTAATCCCTTCCCAGAAGAGACCCAGGTGTACTCGTATGGAGAGAATATGCCGAGAAGGTCATTGTCCTCATGGACCGGCTCTCCGTAGTTTCGTCGTTCCTGCTTGTCCCACCAATCGCCATACGGGTCGCGGAATTGTCGCTTGATCGCCGGCGGGTTAATGTAGCCACCGTTCTGTGTGCGTCAGTTATGAGTAGATGGCTAACCAACCCCAAAAGCTAACTGACCAAGTTCGGATCTTGAGCATCTGTGAGTACTGGGTTGTCCGGGTACTTCTCCTCTATGATTGCCTGGTCATTGAACGACTGTGGAAGGAACGTGCGTTGTTGGATCATGGGTAGTCTTCGCGACGCCAGCGACGCCGACCGGAGAGCCGAAGCCCTTACAATTCGCTGAGCAAGCATCTAGTAAAGAAGGTATGTTAGCTATTTGAAAATGATGGGATAATTAAGGGTATCAATTACAACATACCGTAAGGATTATCGGCTCGAAACCTCGAAACTTTTTAATGCTTTTGGTACCTTTGTTGCTAGTAATAGCATTTGAAGCTTGGAAGGATGACCACTGACCACTGACCACTAACGATGCAGGCTTACTAATAATATTTAGCCTTTGTGCCAAGGCTTTAGCTCCTTTGGAGATCTACATAATATGTACAGGCATTATTTGTACTTTTCCACCGTGCATACGCGAAGAACTACACGTATGCATTATGCCCTCCAGGTATAGGCGTGGAAGATGGGGGAATTACGCACGGATCACGTTTATTCTCTTACTTCTACTAGCTGCGTTTAGGTATTCATGTCCAAGGCAAGGCGGAGACCCGAGGAAATTTTTGAATCATCATCAAACCGCTGATGAATAGCAATTTTGAGACGAAATTCATCGTTATTATTGTTCTAATGCTCTGTGCAAGCTTAAACTTCGTCATGATAATGCCACGCTAATTCTCTATCTCTGGACATAGTTTTTATCTCATCCGATGTTCATTTCAGCGAGATCCGCGTCTTCTTTCTTTCCTTACACCCCTGGACAGCTATGACGGCTACCGCGTCGCCCGAGTCTGCGCCTTCACACAACACCACAAATCCCACAAACCTAAACAGTGCAAATAACGAAATATCCGAACCAATTCCCGAAAACTCTGCCGCCCCGTCAGATAATCCACATAACCTCGATATAAAATCAGAAAAATCTACCACCGACCAATTGTCTTCAACAAAGGCCGAGACAAATGGCACCAGTACAGATCAAGCCGTTGACGAAACCCCCGTAAAAAATGATGATATTGACGAGAGACCTTCTAAGCGTCGCCGAATACGTGACACAACACCCCATAGCGCACCTCGTCGACCTAAGCCCGAATCTCCTCCGTGGAAGAAGATAGAGGCTGATGGGCCCACCACTTTCACCGAAAATGGCAAACGCAGGTCTGGACGCACAAACCCGGTGCCCTTGGAGTTGCAGCCACCGAGTAACAAGAGGATGACCCGAGGGGCTCTCCACAACCATCAACCTTCTACGCCGGCCAAGGACAAGCGCCCGGTAACTAGCAACCAAGTGAGCGGTTCTCATAAGCACGCTCCAGCGGCCAAGAATACTTCGTCTAAAGCTTCTACGCCTAGTGCCAAGCCGAACACCAGAAAATCTCTGACCAATGGCTCCAAACCTTCGGCCAAAGCTCGAAGGCGCTCCCCGTCTCCCCCGCCTCATACGACACCGCCGAGACGATCTACTCGTACACGACGTAACTCGAGGACTCATCGAGATGTTATCGATACTCCTGATGGCAGCTCAAATCAGCCCGCCGATGAAAGTCCAAACTTGCGCCCAACAAAGATTCGGCTACGGTTGAAAGGGCCTAGCATTCCCACTGTTCACCCAGCTCAAGTCAATGTTTTCCCAGGTCAAACTGTAGCGCGTCCCAAAATAGCGACCGATTTTCGCGAATTTGTAGACCGGGCGCCAACCGTAGATGTCAAAGACGGTGGCTGGTTCGACCTTGCCGACGAAGGAGACCCATATACGCAGGAGGCGGCTGAAAGAGATGCCAATGCTATTATTCGTATTGAGGCCGAAACAGAGCCTGGTGGACTGCTTAGCGAAGAACGTTCTTCGCTATTTGTCCCGGAGCCTGTCGAAGAACCTCCACGACAGTGGGCGCATATGGATCATCTTGTCAAGCAGATGGCTAATTTTCGGAAGCTGATGTTGATGGAGCAGCAAAGACATAAAGCTACGGCAAAGCGATTAGCTGAAGCCTGTCGGGACGAGTGGATACGTCGACAACCCAAGACTACTGAGCAAATCGAAGCCGAGGCCAAGGCAGCATGGATTGTTCGATATAGAATTGTTGTTAAGGCTGTCGCTGGGACATGGGAGAACGTCAAAGCCGAGGTTAATCGACGTCGCCTAGAGGAATGGGAAGCCGCCGAACAAAAGCGAGTTAAAGCTGCGTTGAATGAAGCTGTTAGCATGTCGGAGCTCAAGCTACAGGCTCGCCGAGCACATTTCGATTCCGAACTTCAATCTGACGAAGATGAAGGACTAGAAGGATCAGATGAAGAAGCTGATGAAGAGGACAACGAGGTAGGTTCTGATGAAGAGTTATCTGATGAAGCATCAAGCGAGGACGAGGGCGAAGATGAGGATGAGGATAATATGTCTTCTTCCGATGATGATGACGATGACGACGCAAAGTCAAACAGCTCCAATGAAGGTCTCACGCAGGACCAATTAAGACAGAAATACGCGAATATCCCGGATCTGGCACTAGATGACCAAGGCGAGACTACGGACGAGTCCATTGATATGGATGATGATTTGGGATCAAGTGATGACGGGGATATGGATAGCGGTGGTGAGAATGGTGAATCAGAGGAAGAAGATGAAGATTCGGACGCTGATGAGGAGCCCTCCGGGTTATTGGGTCTTTTCTTCGGCAAATCCGAGCTTCAAAAGATGAAACAGGAGGCAGCAGCAGCTGAACCGCCACCGCAGCATGATGTTGAAATGGCAGATGCGCCGGAATCTGCACTTGTTAACGGAAGCGGTGCTTCAGGTGATCTTACATCTGAGAAGAACGCGAAGAATGATGCAGCAATACATAACGTAGATGCACAAGATACAGCGTCAATGGCGTTAACGAACGGAAAGGAGCACGTTGGGGACTCTATTCCTAAGGATCAAGTGACAGCAAACTCGTCCGATATTGCGGCTACTACGGTTGCACCACCGGAAAACCCGTATGAAGCTAACAAGCCTGATGTTCTCGTCACAGTACCGGAACCGTTACAGGCACAAGATATCGAAATGGAAATCATCGAAGCGGTTAAGGAAGTCAACGATGATATCAACGAGAAGAAATCGTCTTCGATAGCGGAACCAAAAGTAAATGCGATACCAAGCGTCGAAATTATAAATGCGTCGCCAGATCAGCCACAAGTACAAGCGACTTCGGATACGGATGCAATCACAAACCCTCCCAGTCGTGATCGGAGTCAATCACCTCGGACATCTGACACCAAACCTTCGGAAGTTGACACGCCATCTTCTGTCGTCAAGTCAGGTGCAAGCAGATCAAGTTCGCCCCAGTACCAAGTACCGAGGACGGATGTTCCATTTTTGCTTCGGGGAACGTTACGTGAATACCAACATTTTGGATTGGATTGGCTTGCTGGCCTTTACAGAAATCAAACTAATGGTATTCTTGCGGATGAGATGGGTCTTGGAAAGACCATCCAAACAATCGCTCTCTTAGCCCATCTAGCTTGTCATCATGAAGTATGGGGTCCTCATCTGGTTATTGTCCCGACTAGTGTCATGCTGAACTGGGAAATGGAATTCAAGAAGTGGTGTCCTGGATTTAAAGTCTTGTCCTATTATGGTAGTATTGATGAACGTAAACGAAAACGCCAAGGGTGGAAGACTGATGACATGTGGAATGTGTGCATTACATCCTACCAAATCGTTCTGCAGGATCAGCAAGTCTTCAAGCGTAGACAGTGGCATTATATGATCCTTGATGAGGCTCACAACATCAAGAACTTCAAGTCCAAGCGCTGGCAAACGCTGCTCACATTCAATACTCGAGCACGGCTCTTACTTACAGGCACGCCATTACAGAACAATCTGACCGAGTTGTGGTCGCTGCTGTTCTTCTTGATGCCGTCCGAGAACGGGGTCGGTGGATTTGCAGATTTAGCAGAGTTCCAGGATTGGTTTCATAAACCAGAATCTCAAATCTTGGAGAGTGGCCGAGAGCAGATGGACGATGAGGCTCGTGCAATCATTGCCAAACTGCATAAGGTGCTCAGACCTTATCTCCTGCGGCGACTGAAAGCAGATGTCGAAAAACAAATGCCAGCCAAATATGAGCATGTCGAATTTTGTCGGTTATCGCGCAGACAGCGTGAATTATACGATGGATTTCTAGCCCGTACGGACACCAGAGAAGCTCTGTCTTCGGGCAATTACATCTCGGTTATCAACTGCCTCATGCAACTACGTAAAGTTTGCAACCATCCAGACCTCTTTGTCGAGAGACCGATCATGACATCCTTCCGGCAACGTAGGTCAGTGCTAGCCGATTATGAGTCGACTGAAAGCCTCATTCGAGGGAAGCTGCTCCAAGATAAGCCAATGACTATCGTCAGCAAGAGTTTTCTCAACCTCATTCCAACCCAGTACGAGGACTTATCAAGGTCGGTATGTGACCGCGTTTATCAACTTAGTGCCCACCGTCCATTAATGGACCTTCGCGAAGCTCAGAAAGCCCGATCCCAAGCTGCTTATACAAATCTGGATCCTGCTACTGTAGAGTCCAATATTGTATATCTAGAAAGCGCGGCGCGATGGGGTCGTTTTGAAGAATTGCAACATTGCGTCTATCTAAACGCACTCAGGCGACAGCAGCGTCCAATATACGGCAAACAACTTACAGATTTCTTGACTCTTGGTATCAGTGCGCGACCGCACAAGCCTCGTCCAAAGGTTCCACAGAAGATCATGAGCTGGTTCGAAGAAGATTCAGTTGTTTTAAAATCAATCGTGCCAACGCTCGATCAGCGTGCGGCGTCCATGAAGACTATTATCTCTAAGTTTGCCTGTGTCACACCGGCAGTTGTCACTCGGGATGTTGACCGATTTATACTCGGCTCTAATGGTGTAGAAGCGTTCAACGAGACGAATCTAAAATTATCAGCTCCGGTACGGCATTCGCCGTTCATGCAGAAAGAGGCACCGCTCGATCCATGGCACGAAGCTCGTATGAGGCTCAGTATTCAATTCCCTGACAAAAGACTGCTACAATACGACTGCGGAAAATTGCAGGCACTTGACCGTCTGTTACGCAAGTTGCAATCTGGCGGCCACCGTGCCCTGATCTTTACACAGATGACGAAGGTCCTTGATATTCTCGAACAGTTCCTAAACATTCACGGGCACAAATATCTACGGCTCGATGGTGCTACGAAAGTAGAACAACGACAAATATTAACAGATCGCTTCAACCATGACACACGGATTCTCTGTTTTATATTATCTACACGATCAGGTGGTCTTGGAATCAACTTGACTGGAGCTGACACTGTTATCTTCTATGATCAAGACTGGAACCCTGCGATGGACAAGCAATGCCAAGATCGATGTCATCGTATCGGCCAGACAAGAGATGTACACATCTACCGTCTGGTAAGCGAGCATACTATTGAGGCGAATATTCTTCGCAAGGCGAGTCAAAAGCAGATGTTGGACGATGTCGTGATTCAGGAGGGCGGTTTTACTACCGACTACTTCAATAAGCTTTCGGTGCGTGACGTTATTGGCGGCACCCCAGATGAGACTGATGTAGTCGGCGACGCAATGGACCGGGTTCTCGGCGGTGTGGAAAGCAGTGATCAACGCACAGTGGGACGAGTTCTCGAACAAGCCGAAGACCGTGAAGATGTAAACGCTGCTCATGTCGCGGAGAAAGAGATACAAGAAGATGAAGCAGATTTTGCTGAGAAGCCGGCAACTGGGAGTGCATCCGGATCTTCAAGTACTAGGCTGGGTACTCCCATAACCCGGGATGGATCTCTTGCGCCGGGCATTGCAAGGTCAAATCTCGGATTGTACTCCGAATCGGCAAATGTGGATAACCCATCCGAAGAGATCGAGAATAACGCGTGGGGAGAGGCGATTCACAGCATCGACGAGTATATGCTGGCTACAATGGGCAAGCAGCTCGAGGGTACAGTATTAGAGCTCCCCAAGGATAAGAAAAAGAGCAAAAGTAAAAAGGGCAAGGATACCCGCAAGCGTTGATGTCAGCCACCCATACGAGTTACATCCTGTTCCTTGCAGCTCTAAGGCCTGTTAGGGAGAGCAACTCAAACAATCAAGCTGCATATTACGGAGTTTGATGTCGTCTATAGCAGACCAATGTGTGCAACACGCAAACGTTCGTTGTAAAGACAAAACAAAAATGTGAGCGATAAACACTGGGAATAAGCATGGAGATAGGTTTATACATTGCATATATTGGTGTTTTTTGCACGACAGCGGCAAGGGAAAAGCGGCGTATTGAAAGGACTTCACATCACATTGGTATGATAGGCTTAGTGCGTGTTGGAGTTGGGGATGTCACGAAAAAAAGAGCAATTAGAGACCTGTATCTGTATAAGCCGGGAGTACTAGTAGATAATAATGTGACGAAAAGACGAGAGATGACCGCACACAGCGGACTTCACCACTTTATAAAACAAAAAAAATCAATAGTAACCTTCAATACAGTTTATGTGAGGAGCTATATAAGAGGTGAGGCTAAAAGAATGGACGATGACGCCGGCAAACTGTGGCCGCTACTATATAAAAGAAGAGCCGATATATTTCCCCGCGTCGGATCCACCAAGGAGAACCGACGAACCGTTCGACTCGTCTAGCTAGCAGCGGGTAAACCCGAAGAGTTGGTTATCTTTGTTTATATAAAAGCAGCCAAGAAAAGTCTCTTATAAATGTAGTATTAGCTATGGAGTAGTAGTAGTCCGGTAAACAAAAGGTGAAAAATAAATTCGAAACAGGCAAACGACGAGACAGAGGGCTAATATCGCGGGGGCTCTAAATCGACACTAATAACGCTGTTCTCGCAGTAGACGAGCAATAGTTTCAACGGCACTTATTTAAGAGTCTAGATCACCTAGGACTTTGGACTACAGAGAGCAAGTTATCGTTCACGAGCGCTTTTAAGATGGCATCCCAGACGACTCAAGACGCCCAGCATGAGAGCTTTCGGCAGTACCTACCAGATCTAAACACTCCGCGGTTCCAGGCCATCGCAAAGAATGATGCGTACGGCCATGCGAAGGAACTCCTGGAGCATCATAGACCGCCTTGGCTATATGGGCTGTATTTACATTGGCGAAAATTATTCGAGGAGCCATTTAAAGGTGTGACTAACGATGGTACGTATACTTTCTCACTTTTTTCACCTTAGTCTGCCTTAACCCCTGAAAACCCTCCAGCCGAGAGTGAAGAAAATGGAATAGATAGTAGGTACCTAGGTAGTTTTAATAGATGCTGTAAAAGGGGCATATTTATATAATAATAATAATAATAATAATAATAATAATACAGTACCTATGTTAGCAAGATATACGTACAAGACTAACGAAGCCTAGGTGTCGTCCGGCCCAACCTCTTCGAGCTCCGCGACGAAGGCGTGCCCATCGACGCCATTACCAGCGCCGCCAACGCCATCATCGCGCAGCTGAGCGCCGAGCAGACGGTTCGCACACTCCTGCACATCGACTCCCCGGAGTGGCGGTCGTGGTCGAACCCAGAGTTCCTCGTGAGCGACAAGGGGATCCGACTAGACGAGATCACGCCCTCGCTACGGGACTCCGTCCTGTCCCTCCTCGAAACCACTCTCAGCCCCGAGGGCTACGCCAAGGCCCGCGCGGCCATGCGCATCAACCATTTTCTCGGGGAGCTGGTGAACGCGCCGAGGGTCATGAACGAGCACAGCTACAACTTCGTGCTGTTCGGGACTCCCGCCGTCGACAGGCCCTGGGGCTTCTCGTTCTACGGCCACCACCTGTGTCTCAGCGTGTTCCTGCACAAGGCCCAGATCGTCGTGTCCCCCTGGTTCACGGGCGCGGAGCCCAACGCCATCGACTCCGGCCCGCACGCGGGCACGCGCATCCTGCACGAAGAAGAGCGTCTAGGCCTGCAACTGATGCAGAGCCTGAGCGCGGAGGACAAGAAACGCGCTACGGCCTACGAGGAAATGAAAGATCCCAACATGCCCCGGGGCCGCTGGAACCACGACGACCAGCGGCACCTATGCGGCGCGTACCGGGACAACCGCGTGGTTCCGTACGAAGGGGTTCTCGTGGGCACGCTGCCCCCCGCGCAGCAGGATCTCGTGCGCGCGATCCTGGCGCAGTACCTCTTGTACCTGCCGGCGCGGTCGCGCGAGCTCAGGGTGCGCGATTGCGCGGCGCGCTTCGGTGAGACGTACTTCTCGTGGATCGGAGGGCACGGGGACGCGGACCCGTTCTACTACCGCGTGCAGAGCCCCGTGATGCTGGTCGAGTTCGACCACCACTCCGGGGTTTTCCTGAGTAACACCCGCCCGGCCAAGTTCCATATCCATACTCTGCTGCGCACGCCGAATGCGGGCGATTATGGCGTCGCGCTGAGGAACCAGATTGAGCCGGCGGTGCAGCAGGAGTATGTCTGGGAGGAGTAGCGTCTAGGTAGATATTTATTTCTATCTGGATACCTACCTAGGTTAGGAATGTAAAATTGTATGTGGGAAAAGGGGTAGTGGGAAATACATATAGTATGCGCTTCACTTCAACATGAATAGCTCCACAAAAGGAACAGTGTAGTAGATAACGTTGATGTATCGAGGCCTATTTGAAGCATTCTGTTACATGTTAACTTTGCTGTTGCCCTTTCCTCAGTTTATTAGGTTGTGAATCGCGGCGTGAACTTAATCAGTCCGAGAGACCATAACCTTAACATCAAATACTTGCTAGAGCTTGTAAACTAACCTATTGGTAATAACTTACCAGGCACATGAATGCCACAGAGTGCGTTCCTAATGTAATATAGAGACACCTCCTTAAGACTTGACATGCAGTATCTGATCTATATTGACACAGATATACTACCAGATGAGTCTGTATACCTGAAGGTATCTATCACATGGGAGAGAACCCGGCGCTTACATCGCCCCACAGAACAACACATAAGACACTCTTAGCAGGTAAAAATATGTATATCAAAGTCAAACATCCCACACTCGTACACATGTTATATAACATCATACATAGACCAATGTTAGCAAGACGCACCATCCCACCATCCGGGTCACTAATCTAATATATTAAACCTGAAGCCAGAAAACCCGAGGCCACCTAGTTAGTTTGGGTTGCCTAGGTAGGTACCTAACTTAACCTACTGACCTACATATACCTACCTAGGCACCTAGTATTTCCACATACACACCACACTCACTCTCCTATCCAACCAACCCAAGAGAAGAGCCGGCCAGCCTAACCCATTCAAGGCTCGAGTTCTCACGAGAGCAGCAGTACACACGCACATACATACATACGGGGTCCACCCAAACCGGACAACCACACCCATCTGGCCCTCACGACGCAAGGAAGTGGATAAGACCCCCATCCACTCGTCTCCCCCCCTTCCCCTCCCCCTCCATCTCTGTCCCTCCTGTCCCTCTGCCGCACCCGCGCCGGTTTCAAACCCGGCTCGGCCATCCACGGAGCCGTACCACTCACCAACCCACGGCGTACGATCAGCGGAGCACAAAGAAAGAAGAAAGGAAGGAGGTGGACTTGCGTAGTAGCGCCGTAGCCTACCTCCTACCAGTTACTTGTCCGACTTGTCAGATAAAGTACCTTAATTACCTACCTACCTAGATACCTTAAGTTCCTAACCTATCCCACGTCGGCTCGTGATCAAGCCGAGTCTCTTCTACAATTCGCTTGCTTGCTTGGCTCGTTTGTTCTCCAGTATTAGAATGGAAAGAAGCAAAAAAGATGCTACGATTATTCGAAAACGGAGACGATCGTGTGTGTGTGTGGATCGGCGGGCCCCTTTGCTACCTAGGTACCTACCTACATACTAGAAAACACTAAACTACTCGTAATGCGATTTCCTGAATTACCATCGTGCATACGCGAGCCAAATCTCTACCATACCGCGAAGGCACATTTCCCCACTGCCGCGTGATTGAGGCCAGGCGAATGCAATCTAAGCTCCAGTGCGTACGCTCTGGTTGCTGCCAAGGTATCCGCTTCGTTTGCTGTGAATGTAAATGAGGACAAAAAAAAAAAAAAGAGGGGGGGGGGGGGGGGGGGGGTAAGTAGCCCCAAACGGGTTTTGGCAAGTTGGAAAGGATATTTTTAGGATTTTGCAACCCCAAAATGTAAGTGGGCAAAGTGCCAAACCCGCAATGGCATTTC